CTCTGCGGTGGCCAGAGCATCAAGAAATTGTTTGACGAGGTTCATAGTATTGCGTGGACAGGATACTGTAAGGCTGACCAGGTCTAGACAGGAGAACGATTAGGGTTCTTAACCAGAGACTTTGGTGCAAAAACCTGTCTGCAAGGCATCGGGTTTGGCGTTGGACTACAAGGAGTCTGTTTTAAGGAATAACGAGCCACCCTTATTCCAACCCCCAACCTGGAGGATCAGGAGGTTGAGTTTGTTTGGCCTCTAACCATTGACCAATCTGGTATGAGTGGTTCTGAAGGTGCAAAACAACATCACCCAGCGCAGCCCGAGGGATCTCTGAAGCATGCAAACCATCGCACCAAGGTAAGGTCCAGCCTCATTGCGAACAGTACTGCAAAATTATCATTCACAAAGTGTAACAAGTGTAGGTGGACTCACAAGGATGTTTAACTGAGTTGTATATCGGTTGTTCGCGTTATGCTGACGTAAAAGAAAACGAGTTATATCGCGTACCGTGAATGTGTTGGTGCGTCATCAGGTTACTTGAATTTCTGTAATGTGGGGTGTCGCTTAAATAAAAAGTGGAGGAGCTGACCGTATCCATGTGCGTCAACCACGGGCGGCGACTGCAGGCGATTATGCTACCGGATAGCCGCTCGAGTGAAATACGGTTAGACACATATGGCAAACTGATCAATCAAGTGTACGCACCAACAAGTCAGAGAAAGGAAGCGGGGTTGGTTCATTGGCGGATCGTTTTAGCCGGGACATCCACACGCTGACGATGTAGGAACGACAGACCAGACATACAAAGCGGAGCTGCCGTACCTAGATATGGCTCAAGGCGAATAAACGCAGACGGAGTAGAAGCCGACAAATAAGATGTAAGTGGGACCAACGTACGCAATGTAATACGAAAGTCTGCAGCGGCCAATGACGGTAGACAACCATTCCCCATTAGTTTACAGTATAAAACGTCTCCCTGATACTTCAATAACAGACTCTGATCATTGCCCAGACTTTCTTTTGACTCTCGGAGGGCGCTTCACGATACGGGGGAACGTGACGGCTGGAATAAACTAGCGGGGCTCCCATATAACAAAGAAGGGCACATAGCATTGAGAACCGATTAGTTCTTGGCAGTAGATTGAACAATGTTCGTGAGGCTGAATACCTCTTCATTTCTGTCATCTGTACCACTTATTGGCAGATACTTAAGTTGATGACCCGTATATCACTCGGTTTGTAATGCGCACCCAAAAAGATCCTATGGGATTAATCAGGCAATGGCATTTTTGCTACCAAATAACATACCGAAGCCCAAGTATCTCGACACTCCCTTGAGTCCATGTTCCGAACTGCAAGATTACAACTTGGTAATCAAAGTGCCAGGTCCCAGGCAAGATGGGTTGCGTTTCCGTGCATGAGACCAGGAACATAACCTCACATTCCAACAGCTTGTACGACACTGTCTCGTGCAAGAAGGGCATGACGTCGAGTTTCCTAAGCTACGCAAGGCACATTTGGAAATAGTGTACTAGTAAGGAAAAGTATAAGAAGGTAAACTAGTGCACACGAGATGGATTTGACCTAGTTGTATACCGTTAGGCATTTGTTAGTGAAACATAGAACGGGTTCGATGGAGCACAGGACGTCCTACGCAGGCCGCTCGTTCAGATGGTATTGGATGATTTCTTTGAAAACGATCGTTCACTTACAGGAGAGCTAGAGCACGTGCTTCTCTTCCTAACGCTAAATCACATGGACCGATCTCATTATTCTGATAGTTTTAAGCAAAATCTGAAATTACTACCGGGCGATGCGATATACTACGACGGACAAACATTGCTTGCATAGTGGATCCCACGTCACATTCTGAGTACTAGGAGAATTTGAGCTAGCTTTCCCAATCATTCGTTTATTCTACACGTCAGTTGGAGATAAGAAATATCTCACCCATTGTGCCGCAATACAGTGCAGATAGTGAGAAAAAGAAAACACAGGGTAATAAACAGTACAGAGAAGGAATAAGTAATATTGTGCCTATTATTACTACACATCGACAGGCAGATCGCGGTTGAAGTGAAAGGCTAAGAGCGGTAGGGAGGAACAAAAGAATTTGCAACACAGGCGCCAGTAAGACCGGTTCTACGCCATCTCAAAAGGTGTCTCCAAGCAAATGGATTCATCGCCTTTAGTACATCGACCAAGAAGTTGAAAGGCAGCAACAGTGGCAAACTTCGAAGCAAGAGCCTTCATTCTTCTTGGTCAAGCTATCGGCTATTCTCTATCCAGTTCCAAGTCGCGCAAACAACGCACCTCGCGGAAATTGGTGTGTTGGCATGAGTAAGACATAGCTCAGTCATGGAAGCCACGTGTATGAAATAATAGTGCTGAACAGTTCATTACGTATACATTCACCACAAAAGGGGGCGAACACGCTCATTGCTCAGGCGACGTCCGACGCAGATGTAAGCTAAAATGTGAAAGCACCGGTGATGGAACATAGCTAGCCTTCTAACGGCTGTCATCGGATAACTAAGGTTTCACGACCGTACAGTAGGGTTGAGCGTACGGATGCAAAATAGACTCCACACTCAAAGACAAGAGTGATGTCGCAACGGCAAATCGAGTGGCGAAGTCAATCGAAAGCGCATCGAGCTTTGGCTATATGTATTTTCAGTTTATCTTTTGTTCCAAAGGCGGCGATACAGTTGACAAGGTAGTCGAATAATTGTATGACATCAGTGTAGGGAGTGGTCCCTACCAATATTGACTGTAATGGGTGCAAAGCCAAGCCCGAGACAGTTGATATCAAGCGTGAGATCGTTCAGTGATGCGGTAATAAACAAAATTCTGTAGGCTTTTGTCCGAGCCGTGTGTTTTAGCCGCGGGCATTTCGTTAACAGTCCAAGCAACGTCAAACAAGAGAAGAAACGTAAGCAAAACGCTTAGGGCGAACAGTCATTTTCGTCTTCTTCCTCATCAGGTCTAGTACAGAAAGATACATGTGAACAAGCAGGCTTGGTGCAGTATAGTGACACATCATTGACTAAATAAAATTGAACGTAAACAGTTCCCATGATAAGCGTCAGATGATCAGGTGATTGGCGGCACGTGGGCGGCAGCAAATTCCTCTCGTGTGGTTGTTGGCCACGGCAGTTGCAATGCTTGAATGAGCTTCTTGTGGATGCAGATATTACGCTACATCAGTCTTATGCTTACTGTTTCAGCAGTAGCAAGAAGTCGTGCTGCCAACTAAGGGGTCAATGTGACGGTACCTTCGAAGTCATTACGTCTGTCAGTATTGTGCCTAGTGTACTAATAGAATAATAAATCCCCAGCTGTACGCCGTAACGGTGCTTCGCTGTCACGCGACCACCACCAGTCGTGCGTGCGCTAAGTATATCGCGAGGACACCCACCCCTACGGAGATTCGAACCGGTGACCTTATGGTTGCAAACCAGATGCGCATACCACTCGGCCACCGGCCGACTTGTACCCAGTGACAATCAGATGTTTAGTAATTGCACTTAGATTAGATCTGTCTCTGCGGTTGGTGAGCGAATTCAGTAGCTTCTCCTTGATTCGATTTTCTAAGCGCCTGGTCGTACGTTCAATCTACCTAGCTCCACAGCAGCAGGTGAGTCGGTATATTACATTTGAGTGGAGGCGATCAGGCACTTTGTCCGCAGCGTACAGCTGCGGATTTATTATTCTATTAGTACACTAGGCACAATACTGACGGACATAATGCCTTCGAAATCCTGTATAAGGTACCGTCACACTTGACCCCTTAGTTGGCAGCACGACTTCTTGCTACTGCTGAAACAGTAAGCATAAGACTGATGTAGCGTAATATCTGCATCCACAAGAAGCTCATTCAAGCATTGCAACTGCCGTGGCCAACAACCACACGAGAGGAATTTGCTGCCGCCCACGTGCCGCCAATAACCTGATCATCTGACGCTTATCATGGGAACTGTTTACGTTCAATTTTATTTAGTCAATGATGTGTCACTATACTGCACCAAGCCTGCTTGTTCATATGTATCTTTCTGTACTAGACCTGATGAGGAAGAAATCGAAAATAACTGTTCGCCCTAAGCGTTTTGCTTACGTTTCTTCTCGGGTTTGACAACAAAATGGGCATTCTGGTCGAAGTTAAGTAACATCATGAGTGAAATGTCCAGAGAAGGGGATCCCATTGCAATGACTCTTTCCAGATCTTATTCTGTAGCGGACACAAAAGAATTGTTGCAAGATGGATGCGAGGGGAAACTAAAGACAACGAATCATCATGGTAGATGAGAGAGAGAAATTGGGTGTGACGCCGGTGCAACGGCATCAAATCATGCGCGACGTGACAACAGCAACAGCCACTGTGCGCAACATAATTATGGACTAGCGGCGCATAGAGATCAGTTTGCAGTAGAATCAGCCTGCGGTTCACTCCAGTAATCCAGATGAGTTCTCTGCAATTCCGATACGAGAAATATATGGCTAAACTGCCAAGGTGACTTGATAGATGGTATTGACTGTAAGTTATACTGTCTTAGATTTCGGAGTTATCCAAATAGCCCCGAAAACCGCACTGATGGTATCGCTTAGCCTGGTGAAGAAACTAGTGCAGCAGAAATACCCAGCTCGGAGAACAAACGAACACTCTCACTGGACTCTCCACATTACAGCTTGCCATGCAGCCCACCTCGATTAATGCAGCAGAGTATGGCCGGTCAATCTCACATTACACGGAGTTGTGCAATTTTGAGACAGTGTGTGCACACATGGATCGTGGGGGCACATTTTGGGCCGTAAGTATGAAAGGCATTTACATCACACTGCAATAGACTGATTTCATCTGCAACGCAAAATGAACAAACTAGTTTTCAAAAGTAATAACTTAATTCGTATTCCATAATATACTCTAAATTAATAGTAGATTGGCATCCAAGCTTATGGGTGGTAATCATCATTGTAACATTTAAACCATAATATTCTTATCCAAGATACCACAGATGCTTCTGTTCTCCGCCAGCATTCAACCAAAGGAGCTACGGGTGCAGTCGGCTAACGCTTGGGAAAACTTCCAAGCATACATGGAACGCAGACGCAGAGAATTTCAACTCATGGGACGTGGAATGTTCAGTATGCTGTCGAGGACCAGCACACACCTGACGGTAGGTAGTTTGCTGTCGTATAGATAAATTTCCGTGTGATAAAGTTCGTTTATTTTTTTAATCTTGGGTTACATGCTTGTTCGCTCGTGTTTGCTATATTGAATTTGCCGCGGATATGCTGATAAACCATTTGATGCATATGCTAATTTAGCAGCATATCCGGTATGGTGTTTCGATCCAATTAATTTGATATTCTCATTTCAAGCGATCGTCTGTTGCTTCATATCCCCAGTGTGGTTACGTTCCGTGTGCATGTTGACAAGGTGCCTACTTGTCTATTGCCCACTACCTCCATCTATACTGGCTCCAGGAGACAGTTGATCACTGCTGGAGGGGACAGACTGGACAGTCCTCGTGACTGTGCTAGGTTCGAAGAGTGGTTCCATCCAGTGTGGACCGGACCACGTTTCAGTCACCGCCTTGTGTGCGCTTGATTCACAAAATACAGCGTGCTTGCGTTTGGCTGTGATGAAGTGTGTGCTGGCTCCGTTGTTGAAAGGTGGCTCTCATCTCCATGCCTTCCGGTCTTATGCTTTCGGGTTTACAATGTGATACGGGATGTGTGGATGGAGCTGTAGGTGTTGCGGCTCAAGCCACCCATTGTGTCTCTGTATGCGCAGATTTCCTGCGGTTGTCCCAGTGGAGGCGGCAGTAACAGTCGAATCCGGAACGAGATGCCGCCAACCACATGCGAATTCAGGTAGCTACAAGGAAAAATGAAGACTGAAAATAGGCAACCTCGCGGCTCATAACGCTCCCGCTGTCACTTCATATCGAGCATGAGAAGGACTTGAAGTAAAGTAATGCATCCTGAAGGAACATATGGGCAGTGAGAAGAAGCAGGACATAAAATTGCGGATGGTAGTCACGGATAGATGGGCGCAGTCACTTGGTAGATAGTGTAAAGCCAGGTTGCAGTGCTCCAGAGCGCACGGTACTAAAATGAGATAAGAGGTGCACGAACTGAGATTTTCCTTTTCTTTTGGTCGCTACTTAATGTCATCTTCTCATAATTAACGATAAGTGTATGGGTCATTAGAACAAGTGATGCCCATGAGGCCGTAGTGAACTAAACACCTACATTTTGTTCCCGTGCGTGCGTATCCGATGAGTTTACACCCGGACAAATAACCGTCCAATCTTTAAATGTATGATTTGAATGAGCATTCTGTCAATTTCATGTTACAGAAACATATGCGCGAATCTATTCGGATGTTGGAGGAAGACATGGAGACGGATGATGATTACTATCGCCTCGCTCGAGCAGAAGTGGCAGCTTCAGAACGAGAAATATACGAACGAAAAGAACCGAAGCGTAAGGAGAGAAAGAGCAAAAAGACGAAAGACAAAGGCAAAAAGGACACCAAGGCTGAAGGTCCTGTGAAACCCGTGAAACAAAGCAACATAAAGCCCTCGCCCCATTTGGAAAGCAAGCAACGTGGAATGGGAGGTGCACCAGAGTAGACGTTCAACACATCAAAAGCATATCGGTTTTAGTTTGGAAAAAGTAACCAGTCAATCAACATTATGATTGGCTCCCACATGACAAAAGCATTTCACCATGCAGAGGAAAATGCCACATTGCAGAGATAATGGCACATTATCAAGCGCCACCCTGCATTAAATAAATTTGGTTACTATTGTGATTTGTGATGCTAATCACGGCGTAATGGTAAACTTTACCTGGAAGCATGCCGAATTGGAGACTGATATTACCTGATTGGAGCCAATCCATATCAATTGAGGGATGCAAGCTGTGCTTTAAAATCTCATAGTGTGAGCACTACACAAGTCGATGAGTGATATATCCCCGGACAATGAGAACGAATTGGTAGAGAATGTAAAGGCAGCATCCATAGGTTATTATCGAACAATTATTCACATTAGCTCTACGCCAATAATTTGAGCCACACGGGTAAAAGGAGTATGTATTGATACCCGAAAATACCACAAATATGGGCACAACAACAGTGGTATCCCACGGAATACTGATACGAAGTACACAAGGGAGGCATTTCACTCGAGGTGAGTGAAGTAGAGTGGGATCACTCCAAACACAAAGACTAAATGGTCAATCTGCTTGTCTGAACGGCATCAGCAATACGCCGGACCGACGCTTCGCTGCCGTGCAACCACCGCTGGTCGCATGTGGACTGAGGATACCCCGAGGGTCGCCCTCAGCCCAACATAGGCTCTAACCCACGCCGCAAGTTTACGAGACAAGTGCGTCACTTTTAGGCTATAGGTCGGCCGCTGGTCCGTAGGAAAGCTCCATGAACTCATCGATGGTGACTACATTTCTGTTAGGTGTATCTGATAGGCACAAATAGTGTTAAATATGGCACACAATGTGCTCAACCACACATTTGTGTATCCAAAGCGATAACCAAATGCTGTTCAGGGAAGAAAACATTTCCACCATTCGGCAGTGGAGAACGAACCAGTGACGTACGCAGTGAACATAACAGTGGACACAGACAAGAAGAAAGTTGATCAATATGTATCGCTCGTGGTACGAATCTGGGGATTAGTGTAGGCAAAAAACATTCAAACCGTTCCAATCAGGTCGATATTAACTCACAAAAAGCGGATGAACCAGCTAATATTGAATCTGTTTTAAATCCGGCGCCCAAGTACGGCAGTAAGGGATGTATGAGAATGACAACCACTTCTGAGATGAAGGATAGCAAAAGACCTGTCTCTGAAATCTGGGGGATGATAATCCAAAAGGTAGCAGAACACGATCGATTTCAATGAATATCCAAAGCTGTATAAATAAATTCCCCACAACAGAAGATTATTGACTATATATCTGTTGACAGTGTGACTGTTGGTTTGAAGGAAACCCAATGATTGCTGTCAACTTGCACAGATCCGTAAATCACAGCGACACAGCCATGTGATCAACTCAGCTGATCAACTGAGTGCGTGGAATTCTGCAACAAGACAGTAATCACTACTATTTTCACTGATCACCACAGAGTGATTGACCTTCATGGCCTGAATAAAACCTCAAATCAGCCCGAAATAAGCTGGTGTTGAAATTAAAAAGAGGATATCGAGAATGCAGTAGGTGCCAAACTAGTGTGGTGTTCGCCGAGCTGGGCAATTTGATTGTAAACATCTCACCACCATTCAATGTGGCATCGTCAGTGCAGGATCGATGGCAGTCAGGTAGCAGAAGTTGGCAGAAGACAACGCCAATGATACACTGACGATGGCATCTCGAATGGCGGTGAAAGATTTGCAACCAAATTGCCCAACGCGGAGGACACCACAGCAACTGAACAAGCCTATCGAACTACCAGTATTCCAAGTACTCAATCGTTCCAAACCACTATTATGGTTAACTCAGCAGAGAGCAGGTACACAGTGATAAATCTGGGTGATGCGCAAATGAATGGAAACCTTTCCGTGTGCACTCAAACGCTCCAGTCATAGGTCGAGTGACATAGGATGGAAGGGAATCCAGAGAATACCCCAATGATAGAAAACGAGAGCCACAGTTATTACAGTTGATCTCATACTTTGAGAACAATAGAGCGCACATTCTCCCATTTTCGTCAATATGAGGTTTTTCGTACGATGGCACGGATTGTGCTAACTGAATCCGTCCCGAATCGGAGCTCAGATCTTGGCCTATTGAGCGATTCGGATTGCGCAATGTCTTCGCTTCGCCATTAATTTGTGACCATAATGACTAAAAATGGACATACCGCCCACACTGGACAAGACTTTAGGTTAGAAGTTGTAGTGAGTGACGAAGTTGGAGCAGATGAGAGATGGTAGCGCAATGGAGATTACACTCAACTCTTCAATAAGCACTGTAAAGCGTGGATGCAGGGCGCATCACGCTCCTTTGAGTGGGAATGGGCAGGTTGTTCAAGAGCACAGTTGTTCAAAGAACACAGTCCCTACAGACTTCTTAGTCATTCAATGTAACACATAAGTTCATCTCGACTCCCTAAACAAACTCTACAACCGATACCGAAGAGCGATGGAGCTGAATGTCAAGACGCGTCATAATAGCATTGCACAGTAATTGGAAAAAAATGGAGAGGAAGCTTAGGATAAGAAGAATGAATGATCTCCAATGAAATGCGAACAGATAGCAACAGCATGCAGACTGGCAAGTCCTCGATTGTGCCGTATGGCGAAACGCATCCAACTGCGATGCTGCCGATTCTATGAGCTCTATCCATGCCTATCCTGGATTGACTAAGCCTTTAGGTTAGACGTCCAGTGACTCTTCATCGCCTGACCAGGTTCAGGTTTCCTCCAACGACAAAAGTCATTGTCAAACAATATGAACCGAAGTAAGTGGTCAGTGCGCATTCGACAGTGTCGTATAGAAAAGCAAAAACGGTTCGCTAGTGGCCGCAAACTAGTGTAGCCCAAATTCTGCACCCGGCGCGCCATCTGGATAAGAAAGATGCAGCACAAACACCGCTGACCGAAAATGTCCAATCTATTAATGTTGTCAATAAGCAACCACCACGTCTTTGAAAAACACTGTAACCCTGGGGATACTGCAACACTGTATTCGGTTTCTAACGAATTGGCCGGCAGCACAACGCTTCCGTAGATTAATGTGGGACTGTAAATCAAGTATGGGCTACTGAATGGTTCGGATAGACTCACATAAGGCATACAATAAAAAAACACAGGTAAAACGCAAATTCGAAACAACTTTTTTCTCTCCCTGCCGTTTGATTCAAGGAATTGTATTGTACCCACGATCAAAGGATGTAATGTAGTGTAAAATAAATCCTATGCTGCTACCTTTTCACAAGACATGTGTAATTTTCGGGCAGAATCGTAATGAGTATGTTCTTAAAAATTGAACAACACTCGTTCCCGTAAGTACCAAAGTCAGAAGGCTATCACGCTCATAAAGTGCCATTGTACATGGTTTGTATAATCTGGACATGGGATAAGTGGATAAATGTTATTAAATGAAAATGAAATACAAAATCAAAACTATCAGCAGGCGTTTTGCCTCCAAAGAGTAAACGTGGCTTTGTCAAAGGAAGAACGAGTTAGGCTGGTACATTTCAGTGGACGTGAAGGATGGTCAGATTGGGAGATAGCAGTTGAATTTAATGTATGTCATATAAATCTGTTATTCGACGGTGGCGAGGGTGATTAGGAAATTTAAGGAAACAGGCAGCATCATGGACAAACCGCGTTCTGGGCGACCAACTGTATCAGTGAAAACGAAAGACATTGTGCTGAATCAATTAATGTTACTACTTAGAGGTCTCGGTTAAGGGCTTCTTGAGCGGTTAAAACTTGATGATGCTCCCGTGCAGTTTGTCATAAATTTAAGAGTTTGGTTTAATGATACTTCCCCTAATTAGCTTGAAAGACATGGTTATGTAGAGTAGATTCCTCGTCCACCAGACCTTAATCCTGTTGATTACTTTTTGAGGCATGCTAAAGAAAGTGAACTCAAAAAATCATAGATCCTATATACACATGAGACAAGGAGTAAGGAACGAAGGTGATAAAAATGATGGCAATGTGGATTTATTGCATGAATTTCAAGAAACGCATCAAGGGTTGCATTGCAAATGATGGAAAGCATACTAGTGACGTTGTTTGAAGAGAAATTTGAATATTTACTGATGAGTAATGGGGATTTTGAAATAATTCAGATACTTCGTCATGGTCACTCTCAGGCAGCAGGCTAAGGCTAGTCTGGAAAACCCCAGACACCGTTGTTTCGACATTCTGAGTCACGTCAGTGGTGCACCTTCCAGCGGAACCCTGCCGGGTTTCACCCCCTTGACTTTCATATGCTAGCAGCTAGTGCCACTTCGCCATGGGTGACAGCCGCGGACGTGCATAATTGATAGTTGGTAATGACAGAACCCGGCTCATCTTTAACCGCTATGCCAGTTACGAACCGTGCAGAGGACAGCAGCTAGCCCCACGAGCTAGGACATTCCGCCTTGACACGGCACAAGTACTTAGAAGCTATACGGACAGAATTTTATATTACTAATAAGTAGTTTGGATTTTGGTATAATGCAGACAGTTCGTCACGGTCACCAAGTTAGCCTGAATTCGTATTTTTAATCATGCATCCAGACTTTGCTGACAACTTGTAGATTGATCCAGTGAACCAGTTGGATACACCTCAGATGAACGCTGACGAGCTAATTTGCAGTCAATAAGCAGATACAGGGAAATTACGTGCATGATATCGGCCCCGACATATAGAGAATGGACCCGTGTGAAATTATGTCTTTAAGCTAGGCCCAAGAGAACATAAATTCACTTCTACATACGTCAAGAAAGTGCGATAAGCGCCTCTAGTTCAGAGACCATAGAAGAGTAATTGAGCTACATCTGCGACACAATAGCTGTGTTTTCCACCTCTGGCTAACGTGGATAATGAATGGATGACTTCTACTCATCCGACTACAAGCGATAGGGGGCGGCCTAATAGCCTAGAAAAGTCATTAGGACAGTGAATAGCCACGCTGCATGCAAACTATGTCAAAGGATAAGTGCGGTGTCCATTCTGTCACCGTGGACAAGAGAGCGATCTGATAAGTTTAGGATTACGAAAGCGAATGATCAGCGCGCATTCCCCACATAAAGTCCAGTCTAAAATGCGGGAATAATTGTGCTCTAGGTGCAAGCGAGAAGAAACAAATCGACCATTTAAGCATGAACAATGATCTGAAGGAGGACCCATTAGGAAAAGCAGAACAAAATATGACAGAGGGTGAAGCCAACCGACTGGCAGTTCTGAGACAAAACAACCAGAAGCACGACCATGGAGACTGGGATCCAGAAAGTAGATTGAAGAAAGATAAGGGTTAAATAGTACAATAAATGCGTGCCACGTGCAGCCACCACAAAGCATGCGTTGGTCGCGTGATGCAGCTCGAGGGATAGGGAGGACAGTAGACAAATGGTCAGGGATAACGTTGGTTTTGCAAGCGGAATCAGAGAGTTGAAGCTAAAACAGAATGCACAGAGAAACGAGCAATCTGACTTGGAAAGTAAGAAGAAAATGAGGTCAACAAAAATCCCAATGGTGACCAAGGAAACACTAGTCAACGGCGCCTGCTGAGTTCCAGAACGTGACAGATTGTCGGGCAGCGGGACTTCAGGGAAGTAAACAACATTGCACTAAATTTGAGTAGGGAGGTGTTGTGTAACAATCGATGGTGTGAACCTGTACATGATAGAGCGCAGAAAGTAACCAAAGTAAAAAGATGAAAAATGGAGCATTTTACAAGGGCTTGGCTGAGTACCATCCATTCAACTGTACAATGATTTCGGAGGTACTTGTCCGATAGCTGTAGTGCAGGGAGCACCGGATGAGTATGGAGACTGTGGAGGCATTCCAGACGAGCCTTGGGTTAAGATTAAAGCTAGCTGCACAAGAGCCGAGTCCCCAGTGTTGGAAGCCAGCATATTGGCGTTCGCTTCCATCTCCGAATCCAGGAGAAGTTGTGGGAGATTGGAAGAGGATTGTGAGGCACACGGACTCGGTAACACCGCAACGCGATTGCTATCCCAATCATAAACCAAAGAGATAGGCTGAGCCATCGGTGGACCCGGATATTTCGACTGTAAAGGCGAGAAGCAAAAGAGACAGATATATGACGAAAGCAAAAAGAAAAAGAAATTGGATGGTACATTGAAGTGTAACGCGATAACTGAAAAAAAATTAGCAACGGTTAGAGGTGGGCAGCGATGGAAAAGGTAAGCAGCCAGGGAGGGAAACCTGCGAAGAGGAGTTCAAACGTTAAGCCCCAAACCGCACAATGGGAAGCGGAGATAGGCCTAACGCCTAACGAGAGTGGCTAACGATAATGAGCGATCGCTTAACGCATGTCATCATCACGTAATACTAAGAACTGGAGGTGACGGAAATATCAATCAACAGAGATTGGCTACGATAGGTTCCTGTATTATTGCAGGACGATAGTGAGTAAAAACGAACAAACTAAGGTGGACAGCCGTACGCCTCTGAGCCCTATTGTCAGAAGATGTATATAGCGTCACAGATCCGTCGCAGTGACGTTGGGTCGAATGTGACACAACGGCCACATGTAGATTACCGAGGCTAGTTCAGGCAACATCAGCCCTTTGATGCTCCAGTTTGAGCAGCAGGAGCGGGAGTAGTGGAGGGATTTAATGGGTCTGTTGGCGAAGATTCGTCGCATCCAGACTATGGCAGACAGACACTACGCATTCAGGAAAGCGCTTGGCGGCCGTTTCGTCCTATTGGGACTCGTAAGTAGCACATACTCTCCGAACCCTGCTGGATTCGAACCCACGACCTAATCATTACGAGCCAGCGACGTATGCCACTGAGCCATGGGTGACGGCAGCGGACCGACATGACTGAAATCTAACTGTAATATAGTGCGGCTCATCCTTCACTGTCATGTATGTTATGAACTACCACTCACTAATTATCAGTAAGTGTGATAACATCTTACATGTCACCTCGATTGGTGGCGGCTTGCAAAGGAAATCTGCTCTGGGGGCCAGTCCTGTCCTCTGTATATTCACAACATGCATGACAGCGAGGGATGAGCCACAGCCAGATATCAGTGATGGTGGTACATCTGCCGTTACCCATGGCAAAGCGGCATAAGTTGCTGGCTCGCAAGAGCAAGGTCGTGGGTTTGAATCCGGCAAGATTCGGCGGATGGGCGCCACTGACGAGTACCAATAGGACGAAACGGCCATCTACCGCTTTTCTGAATGTGTGGTGGCCATTGGCCTGAGTCAAGCTGCGACGAATCTTCATCAGATGCGGGATGGTATTCAGGTTGGTAAACAGGGCTCCTCACATCCGACCAATAACAACTTTTAGTTCCAAATAAATGTCAGTATACCAACAGCTTCCAAGTTGGCACTCCACAATCAGTTCGTGAGCATCCGCACTCTTCAGATAGAGGTAGCCAAACTGGGTCTCGAGCTCTGCGCGTAGTTACGAAGCTATGCCTTTTTACTCCTGCGCCACCGAGTTCCACGAAAATACTTGGTGTAACGGTTGATGCATGTTGGTTTTGGGTCACTTGACCTTTTGTGTCCTGGCGGTACTTATAAGTACTAGTTTGTTTAAATTATAATACAGCTTCAGAGCAAGCGTCATTCCTGCTGATACTCATGAGGATACGTACAATAGACTTCTGTCAACAATTAAGTAAGGGTCAGAACTTCGATATTTTGTTCTACCGTGTATGGAGTAAACTTTTGTGATTCATGTCGAGCTGTAGGTAGATTAATTCAGGACTCAAAGAATTAACTCGCCTTCGATTCGGGTATGGGGAGGTGAGCAGCAATTTCCTCCAAGCAAGGCGGTTTATGAAGTCTGCCTGTGCGTACAAATTGGGTTCCAACTACAGAATAGTTAAGGTTTCGGCAAAATGAAGTGGTCTAGTGGTGTTGTGTCTGTTAATTACCTGAAGAGAATCGCGCGAATCCAAGTTGGCAGGAAAATGTCGAAAAGAGTTCTCTTCGCGAAATTGTGTTCTTGCATTTCCATGGGTATAATTTACGAGTTAAAAATGTAATATGCCAAGCGATTGGACCAAGGAGTAGCCACGGGCCATTTGCAACCAGGTCACGAAGGATGTGTTTTGAGATCGATTTAGACGACACTTAGTCGGAATAAAGAATTTACTATCGCAAGTACAGTGCAAGTGGTAAATGCACCACTATACGAGAATTTAAGGGTGTGGCTTGTTCATGTTGAATTTCAATGGCTAGGTTGCGTAACAGCCGTTCTGTATAGGCTGGTGAAAACGACATCGTAATCTTCTGTCAGTTTGGTCCTCTGTAAATGACAGTGTGATGCATAGGTTTTCCACAGGGATTCCGGCCAATCATTTCACACCGGATTTTGCATTCCAGTGTCTTGCAATGTATCTCTCTCCCGTAATGTTAATAGGATGCGCCTTGATTCTCTTTTGATTGTACCTTGACGTCAAATTTGATTAGCTCTCCGAAAAGCGACACGTGCTACAGTTCGTTTGTATTTCATAGCTGCATCTATGTAGGTTTCCCATACACCGAGCGAAGTCCCTACCCTACGCGTGCCGATTCTGTGGTGCCTGTCATTTTCACCGAGACTGCAATTTCCGCCAGCACCGATGCCAACGTTGTGGCAGGGGGGACACTGACAAGGTTACTGACATCCCACATCTCCCAAGGGAGCCAAAACTGGGTTGGTCCCCACCGGCGATCCAAAGAAGAGATCCCGACCCAGACAAAAACCCAAATCTGGTTGGGTTGGCAGCTTTCTGAGCCTGTTGGCCAGGTTCTAAGTCAATGTTGCGGACCATAGAAAATTCGTCGACGTCTTGGTCAACGTTTAGTCCGTCCAATTGCAGTTGGACACTAAGTCGGACATCACGATCATCTCCGAGGATCTCTGGCCATCACTTGACAAGCCTTCATTCGAACCGACCTCCCGATCAGCCACAAGCGCTTGTAGTGGCCGCGTGCAGCTAAGTGGGCAGCTGCACTTGTTCCGTCTCCTTCCGAGGCGCCACATTTAACGAAATCTGCTACATTACGAAGGCGAACCTAAAGCTACTTGGTCTCAACTGGATCGGAACACATGACTTGGCCGATCTTCTTCTTCGGACCAACTGCAACGCGGTACATTCTCTGGCAGTACCAAGTGACCGAACCGAGGAAATCATCAGACAGTTCGCCCCGGTGTTACAGCTAGAACATGGGGTTCAACCAGTATTCCGTCCCAATAGGCCTGTCCCATACGCAGACCTACCATTGATCGATGCAGAACTCCAACATTTGGAAGACGTGAGCGTTCTGGTGCCTGCGCCCTATTCCGACTGGGCAGTGCCGATCGTCGTGGTAAAGAAGCCGAATAGATCTCTCCGCATCTGCGCCGATTTCTCCACCCGTCTCAACGTTGCGCTAGAACCAAATTGCTACGCACTACCGATATCAGCGGACTTCTTCACAATACCCAACGGTGGTATGTGTTCCGTTAAAATCGACCAGGCAGATGTCTACTTGCAGGTCAAAGTTGCTCCTGAGCCACTGTCCTTGCTGACGATCAACATACATCGTGATCTTCCCCAATACACCTGGCTCTCGTTTGGTGTCGAAACCGCTCCGACCATTTTGCAACAGACGATGGACACTATGATTTCTGGCATTCAGGGTACGGCCGCGTACCTGGACATGCTACTCATTGTTGGTCTCACCTCAGAAGCGCTTTGAGAGCGCCTGGTTGCGGTCCTTCAGCGTGTTCAGGAGTATGGTATCCACATGAAAGCCAAAAATGCCAATTCTTTCTTCCATCGATCAAATACCTTGCTTTCATTTTCGATGCCAGCGGCCGTCATCCTTATCCTGAGAAAGTCAGAGCCATCTAGCAGATGCCGGCTCCAGCGGATGAATCAAAAGTGCGATCGTTGCTGGGTCTCATCAGCTACTACAGCGCTTAAATGCCATCGCTATACGATGTTTGAGCCGCGCTCAATCAGGTGTTACAGAAGGATGCCCCTTGGCACTGGTCCGCCGTATGCAAGGCCTTCGTTCGTCTGAAATCCATGCTGAGTTCCGACTTACTGCAGACCCATTATGACCCAACTTTGCCGATTTCGGTCACTGCTGACGCCTCTGCCTACGGGATCGGACCAGTTCTCTTCCATCACTTCCGGAATGGTTCCGAAAAAGCGGTTAGGCACGTCTCACGTACCTTGACGCCTGCGGAGAAGAAATATGGTCAGATTGATAAGGAAGCCCTGGTCATCGTGTTTGTCGTCACCAAGTGCCACAAGACGCTGTATGGCCAGCGGTTCAAGCTATTGACCGATTACAAGCCATTACTTTCAATCTTCGGTTCAAAGAAGGGCATTCCCGCTTACTCGGCTAGCCGGCTTCAGTGTTGGGCAGTCATGTTTCTTGATTACGACTTCGAAATCCGCTACTGTCGTACTCAGAATTTCAGTAAAACCGACGCACTCTACCACCTCATTTCCAAACATGCTACAGAAGAAGACACGGTGATCACCGCTGTTACGATCGAGGACGATGTTCGTCATCAACTCTCGAACGCTATCCGAAGTCTCCCCATTATTGCCGCCGAAATACGTCGCGCAACTGCTCAATACCCTGTCCTGAAGCTAGCTGTCACTTACGTTGGGACGAGCTGAGCAAACACTGTCTTTTCTGGCGAACTAAAACTACTGTACCAACGCCGCAACTCCTTTTCCGTGGTCGATTCCTGCCTCATGACTACAGATCAAGTTGTCGTTCCTTCATGCCTCCGGCAAACTGTACTCCGCCAGCTCCATTCTGCTCACCCCGGTATAAACAGATTGAAGACAATCGCCCGCAGTTATGTCTACTAGCCTGGCATTGACAACGACATTGAAGATTTGGTTCGCTGTTGTTTAGGAGGTCAACAAGCATCTAAGATGCCAACACCCCAACAACCAGTTCCTTGGCAACCGCCAAAAAAACCGTGGTCTCAAGTGTACATCGACTAGCCTAATCCGATCGATGGCATTTCCGACCTGGTCATGGTCGACGCCTATTCCAAATGACCTGAAGTGGTCACCGTCAACCCATCAACCGCATCCGCTACACTGGGTTGTCTACAAGGAATCTTCAGTCAACATGGCATTGCTGAGATTTTGGTGTCCGACAATGGCTCCCAGTTTACGTCTTCCATGTTCGAAGACTTTTGTCGCCGGCATCGCATCAAACACCTGCGATCACCGCCCTATCATACCCAGTCAATGGTCAAACGGAGAGGTTTGTTGATAACTGCAAGAGGGTACTCATGAAATCTCGTGAGGAGGGGACCGTGGATGAAAGACTTCAAGCGTTCTTGCTTTCTTATCGGTCCACACCAAATCCAGCTGCTCCAAGATGCCAGTCTCCGGCTGATGGGCCGCCAGTTACACACCACCAACGAAGCGCTCATCCCGACCGAAAAGCCAACAAGTTAAGCTAGTACATGCACCAGACACAATGAATTCGTCGTTGGAGCCCCGGTCTACGATCGCGACTATCGGGTAGGTCATGCACCTTGGATCAAAGCAACAGTGACGGTTCGTCGAGGTGATATGCTGCATGATGTCTCCGTGGGTGATGACACGCGGGTCCACCATCGCAATCAAATTCGACCGTGCCAAGGAGAACCCTCCATGTCAGCCAGTTTTCCTGTGCGCCTGCTAGTGCACATCTTGTTAGATACCTTCCGGAGCTCACCGAAATCTCTCCAGGTCCATCCTCGTCAAAAACGGTACACCTTATCTTCAAAGGGAGGTGTTGCTGGCAAGTCAAATAACCCCGCAAAAATGCGCCACAAATTCCGGTGCGTGGGCTGCGAGAAGCAGAGTTCAATTCCTCCCCACAACATTGCTGGATCCAGCCATTCGGTGTCGGAGCACAACTGGGCTAAAGTGGACAATGTTCTTTCGTAAACCACCAGCCCCATGTGGTGATTCAATTCACCCACAAAATGAGGGATTGTTCCAACTGTGATTCGGTTTTTGTGGGTTGTAAGACTTCCCAGAGGTCCGTTTCGTCTTCTCTCGTGGGTGGTTGGGAACCGAGTGGTCACGTGATCGTGTGTGTCTAAGTCTCTCTCGCGTCTACATCATTTCCCGGCCAAGTTGTCCTCTTGGGCAACAGAAATAATCTGAGGGGGCATTCAACATCAGTCTACTCAATCAATTTGTTCCGTGCGTAGGAGCTGAAGCATCCCAACTGCGCCCCTATGACTTAGTGCGTCTGAGGTCCGATTGGCTGAAGGCGACGAGCTAAACACGCACACCTACACACCTGCGCAAGTGACTGGCGTACGCACGGAACAAATTAATTGAGCAGACTCATGTTGAATGCCCCCACAGATTGTTTCTGTTGCCCAAGAGGACAATTTGGCCGGGAAATGGTATAGTTCCCCGATCGTGTGTATCGTTGTCCGTTTAGGAGGACTCAGCGTGCCAACCGAATACGCGCGTGAATACGGTCCATGCTCACGTTGCGCGTAACGCTCGTCTGAGCTAACGCGACCAGGCTGCACAAATCCGTCGAAAGTTTTGAAGCAATTGCTTTGATTGAGAACCTCAATCGTTCTCACACCGACGTTTGGGGGCATGCCAGCTCACGTATAACAGTGATGGTCCCTTCTAATACAAACACAAGCGGAGCTGTATTTGTGAATCCAGTGAGAATTGGTCGGCCAGCAACTACCAGCCAGCGTCAAAGGAAACGAACTATTCCGTCAATATGATTAACCCGTGGAGTGGAACACACACTGGCTGAAAACCAGACGCGGAATAGTGAGTTACCTTGACTTTCTAATTAGCATGTTTCGGTCAATCAATAAATAGCGTTAACCTAACCTGTACAAAGTTACTCTCTGTCTACCGAATTCTGGCCTTTTGTACTTCCTTCGGTTGGCTGGGCGCGTGACTGAGAAGTCAGACAGTCGCAGTCTCACGGGGCAGTTACAGTTGTCAACAACAGTTGTCAGTGGCAGAGAGCAGATGGAAAGAAGAAGCGTTACAACTCCTTGATCATGAATTGGCCGCGCACAGCCTCAAAAGAGTCATCTAAGTTACACCATACAGCACGGCGAATAAACGAAAATATTCCCGATTCTGGTCTTGATTGATTTGTCTTGGCTTTGTTCGATTCCCGGTGAGGTGCATTTGATGGTCCCACCGCATCTGCTGCCGAGTAAATGTTTCTGAGACCTATGCTGACAACGCTATTCCAAAAAGAATGAATAACGTCATTTATGAATGTTATGGCTCTTTCGATGGTCTGTGCACCACAACCTTATCGCCCTTCTTTAAGCGCGCCATATACGGATCGGGATGCATTCATATAAACGGGTTAAATGAAAAACGGTTCAAAAATTAATTATGACTAACCGTTGATTGAAGTTGAGGTCGCCAAACCAACAATTGCAGTGTCACGCATGGGGGCCGAACCAAGATTCCCGGAAGTCCAGGCGCAAATTCTTGCATTGGAGAGCCGGTGCTATCGATAGAAGTGTGAGGGGAATGAGCGTGTCCAGCGGCATGGGTACCAACGCGTCTGCTACTTCCCAGACCCACCAGACCCAATCGAAGTTGCGCTGAAGAATGCGAGGGAGGGTGCAAATCCAAAGGCAGTAAGCGTACGACACTGCGGAACGCCCGAAGAGGTAAGGACAGGATGCGGAAGAAGGCGAGCACGGCACTTGGTTGGTATGGAGCAGCGCAGACCTGTGTGGTAAAGACGAAAAAAAGTATCGGTGTCAGTAAACCTCTCGAAACTCAAGTGAAAACAATTGGTCGTGAGAAAGCGGTTTCATAAATGGAGGTGATTCGATTTTCCTCTTCCCAACACTGACAACTCATGACCGACGGTTCGGTCCTCGTTTGGATTCATCAGGTGGAGATAGCCTGAGATCACCAGATAACGGAAATCGAGTAGGATGACAAACAAATGAGTAACAAACCACATTCCGCCAACGACCAATTTGAAGCTCATGAAGATTGGGAATAGAGAGAGTCAACGAATTGAGTGTCCGTCCATTTCGGAAAAAACTGACATCGAACGAACAAATTTGGGCTGCTGCGAACGAACAAAGCTAGCAAGGGATCAGGAGGACAAGTTAAGCTGAATGAGAAAAAAACACGAAGCATTAAGCGAACAATTGCTTGCGATTAATTCTTTGTCAGGCTTATACATTAATAAACGTGGGGGGTAAGGTTTGTTGCAATCGTCAGCATAACAAACAATTGGTCAAATAATTTAACTTGTGATCATGATGGCATTTATCTGACCACATGATTGAAGTCAGGTGGGTTTGTGGAGTGCCATCACTTCCTTCCCGTCTGGCGGTCGGCCACGGAAATTGTAACGCTTGTACCATCTTCTTCTGGACACATAAATCCGGGCTTGTCAAACGTATGCATACTGTATCGGCTGTGGCAAGTAGGATTGCTCTTACACGATGGTTGTGCCTTGGTGGCATTCTGTAGAGAAGCTGCTCGCGGAGCTCAATGACATATTGATCATGGCGATAGCCGCAAAGAACTACGTGCCAAGTTCACTCCCAGTTCGGTTATCTCTACCTGATGAATCTAAACAGAGACGAAACCGTCGGTCGTGGAGTGCATGGGTGGGATGGAGTCACACAGAAACGCTGAAAGCTGAAAGGCTGTTTGTTTGTTTATCTGGTGGCCGGTGTTGATTAGAGTGTTCGTAATCGCGTTGTAGTTTGTCCTATTTTCGCGGTTGTAGAACCAAGCTGAAAGGTGTTCCTTAGTTCTTTTACCTAAGTGCCTGGTCGTCCGTCCAAAGTACCTGGCCCCACACACGAAGGTGAATCGGTAGATTAAAATTGATTGGAGATGATCAGGCTCTCGATCTTTGGATCTGGGAACTATTAAAGGGCTACTTGTGAAAACCACGTTCAGTTGAGCCGCGGTAAATGTCCTTTTACAGCTTTGCTGTAGTCGACGCGTGCATATCTCAGCTGCACTATTTCCTTTGAATGGATGAGTCAGGGAAAGCTGTTACTTTTAGACGGTTTGTTTTGACACTTTTGATATGCATCGCCCCATATGGGTCTCGAGAAATTGCTCCGGATATACATTTTCGAGAAGTGTTTCGTTGATTCGTACGAGTTCGGCTTTTAAGGTTTTTCCGCTGCATATTTTGTACGCCCGATCGGTTAGCGTCCGCAACAGCGTTCTTTTTCGACTGAGTGGGGCGAAGCTATGACAGTTCGTGTATTGTCTTATTCAATATGGTTTCCTATATACTTGTATTTGGATTGACCGTCGGTTCTTCTCATAAGGCTTGCGTCCAAAAAAGCACTTGATTGTTGCTTTATTCCTCAGCCTTAAATGCGGCATTAGGGTGCGCATTGTTGAAACGGTCGGTTACATACTGGGTTTTGGTGGTCCCATCATGTTTACATAATATATCATAAACATAACGCCGTTAGAACTGCAGACCCGATATGACCAGTTTCAATGGACCGCTTTCTAGCACTCCCAATAAATATCTGCTAACAATGGACGAAGCGGAGATCCCATTGCATCGCCATCAACCTGTCTATCAAACTCACCATTGAATTTGAATTAAACGTTGTAGGTACATCTGAGTACCAGTTGTTTCAGTTGGTTGGTTTGTATACTAATGTTTATGTTTTGTTGGTCAATATACGAGCATAGGTATTTAACTGTTTCTATCAGAGGAAAGTTGGTAAACAGAGAAACAACGTCTAAGGAAAACATCCGATAATTTTGGGCATTCATTTCTCGAACTTCGTTGACAAAGTGGAATGTATCTGTCAGTATATGAGGAGCAATCATTTGCTTGATGGGATTCAGGTAAAATGGGCATTTTGCAAGAGTTTAAGCAGAACCCTGCCAAGAGCTAATGGCTCTTGGAAAGCATCTGAAGGTCATCGATGTGGACAGGGTGTAAATGTGGAAACACCAACACTAGATAGCTGAGCAGCAGTGGCGAAATTTGTGCACCAACCATGGCAAAAAGAAAAGAATAAGCAAAACTGACTCGAATGTCGAAGAATTCTTCGAGTAAACTCAGTGTATCTTGAGGCCATCTATCCATGGGACCGGCATTCGGGGGAGAGTAAGAGCTCAGTCGTAACGCCAGCTTCCAGGTGGCCACCTCCACACCGATGCGCTGGGGTACCAAACACACTTGAGCGACCAGACAAGAGGAGACGAAAGTAGCTTCAAAGACTGCGGCATGAATGATGTCTGTCACACGAGTGGGGCTTGACTCCCTGGGGACAGTAACTTGCTCAGATGAAGATAGAATGGGAACATCCAGACTGGTCAACGCTGCAATACATGCATGGAAGAGCAGGCTGAAAGACAGATATGACTCTAAGGGCGACAAGGCAGAGCTCATAGGACGAGATGACATTGAAGAGGCGCGCAGAGCAGGTAATTTTGATGAAGCAACGCGAGGAGGGCGAAGAAGTTGGGACAGATGAGCCACTGTGAGGCCAGTCCAAGATTCGGCTGTGGGAAGAGAAAGAGACTGTCACGAGTGGGGTAACATTACACTGACGCCAATGTAGCTGTCAGGGATGTAAAATGAATCGGAAACGCAACAACAAATCTGAAACTAAGTACTAAAGGAGCGAGCTTGTTCATCGCACACAACGTGGGTGCCACCTAAAATGCAGGAGGATTCAAGTATGACTGGCGGAGTCGAATAGGGGATGGGTTCTGTGACGTGTGCCCACTAGACCGAGGAGTGCCGCGTAGCAGAGTGATGGTCACAATAGAGCTGGGATGAATGCAGACACTATTCAGAACAAGAATTTTGAAGTGCGTAAGGCACCAGTACCACCTATTAAAAGGAGGAATGGGGAGCACAGTGTGAACACCGAGGTGAAGTTGTAAGTAGCAGGGCTGAAGGTGTATTTTCAAACAGAGGATAGCTGCGGCCACCGCGCAACCAACGTTGATATTGATGCAGGCATTAGTGCGAAATAAAAGTAAGAGTTAAAAGCACCTATAGAACCTGATCAAGGGAATAGAAAAAAGCAAACTATACGCAAAAAGGAGCCCTTCAGTTGTCCATAAGATCGTTAGAGATATCCGGCATATGTTGGTGCAGCGAGGGCAAAATCCCTTTGAGGTGGTAAGACCCTGAGCTGTTCAGAAAGGGTTCTGGAGAAGAAACAACTTCCAACATATGGAAAAATACGGATCAGAAAATACATCGGGACGTAGTAACGGTATTATTAAGGTGTGCCGTTGTTCCTGTTCTTCAGTGAACGGTAGGGTATAAGGAGCGCTCAAAGTGAGTTACAATACTTAGATTAGGAAGCGAACAGATTCAGGATAGTCATCAGAAGGTAACGCCAAAATGGGCAACAATGACTTGTGGGTGCCAACCTTTGAGGTGAATACCTAAGAGTTTTGGTGATGCCCGGCGGCTAAACGTCTTTGACCTCTTTGAGCTCTGGTATCACTCAGAACATACAAACAGGTTATCTTATGCCAGCAAATGCTAACACAAGACCAGTTCAGTGTATCAACATGTGGATCTGTAGCGCCGAGGGGCTGCGGATCCAGTTTCCGTAACAAATCGTTGAAATAATAATGTTGCTAATAATAACTTAAGAGGAAGGAACAACAAACAGAATTGTCAGATAGAGTGATCAAGAATTCGCAGTAAGCAATTCCGTGACCGCAACATTATCCCAAACGGTGTCCAACCACGGATGTGATCGATCCAAAGCACCCCATCCGGGAGGATGATAAGTAAGAACCGAAGTCAGATTTTCGGTGAATAGCTTAATGCTCTTTTGTCATGTTATTGACCGACCACCTCGGAGTTTCAATTAACCAGTACTACTGACAAACAATATACGCAGACGCGATGGGTTTTCAGATGGAATGCGAAGCACATGGCTGAGCCACCGAAGGCTATTCGGGTTCAACAAGCCGGCCCATTGTCAAAAGGACAAGGTGTCTGCCTTGCAACCCGGAGGTCGTGGACTCGAACCTGCGCAGGATATTGGGCGACCCTCACAGTATCCTTAACCTACGCGCGACTGGCGGCGGTTGCATAGCAGCGAAGCGTCGGTACGGCGTACCGGCGTATTGCTGACGCCTTACTCCGATAAGGCACCGATAGGTCAGTTGCCAAGCGCGAAATGACGAATCTATGTATTACTGGCTGGGCAGCAATGGCAAACATGGGCAGTACTGTACAAGATTTATTGATTGTACTTAAGGAGCATTACCACCAGCTGTTGTGGCAACCAAATGAGCAGCAATACGGAAATACATTGATGCTTGGGAAGAAACCTACTAGTGTCTAGCTGAAGTGCCTACTGAAATCAACCGTATGCCCGCTGACTACATTCTTAGGTGTGTATTGCTTGATTTCGCCGCACAGGGTTGGGAGAAATCACAAAGTGGTCAGTCGATGAAACAGAATAAAAGCACGAAGAAAGTAGACGAAAAATTTGGTCGTGGATAAGGAACTCGGAATGGGTCACAACAATGGTTGGAGACTTTATCGAACACGGCGCAGTCAAGTAGTCAATGGCTCTCCTGTATTCCATTTCTTGCACCTAGTTATAAAGTGCCCAACCGGACTGGCTCACCCCCTTTTGTGCCGATCTCCTTTGGTTGTGTTCCATCCTGTGTCCTACCTCAATTGCTACACTACAGTTGACGATAGAAATATCACTAACGTGGCAACTGCGTTTTCTGCAGTTCGGTGATCGAGTGGTAATTGCATCTTACCGAGCCAACCTGAACTACAGTAATTTCATGAACAATATCCGTAATAGATGCAACTCATTGGTCGCTCAATCGGGATTTCATTTCGAATGAACAAATAACGGGAAATTCTACTACATGACTCAATATGGGTGTCGACACCAGCGTTCCCTGCAGCAAACCCAAAACGCTGCAAAACGTCGCACGAGTGAAGGTTAGTAAGGCGCTTAAAAACAGGTTCATACACATTCCCAACACTAAAACCGTGTTAAAGAATATTGCATACTCTTTAGAAGCAATAAAATACAACCCCAGGACATATTCACTAGAGCAAGGAAAAAACGCACACGGCTAAGCATTCTAAAGCGCTCATGCGTGATGGCAACAGACACAAGTTCGTCCAATTATTAAACATTCGATCGCATAAAACCGGCTGTCACCGCGTATCCACTACAAAGACTGGAATCACCCGAAACTGTCAGACATTCTTGGGGGTCGCAAGTAGAAATGGGTCGAGGAATGTATAGCGCGCAGAAAGAGAGCAATAGGAACAGCATAGTAAAAGCACCATTCAATAACTCACAAAAGCATAAGCTCCCTTCTAACAATAACCTCTTGTGCTTCTTAAAATCCCCTTTTCGCATCAGGTCAATGTGTCACGGACTCGCCATTTCCTCTCAGACCCATTTGGCTTGCATAGACTATATGCACTGCTTGTTTGCAAGTCCAATGACTGACACGTAAGTCCGAAACTTCTCAAAGGTGTTACATGCATTAAAAAGGTGTCACTGCACCTTGCACCGATGCCGAGTTGTCGCGCAGTTGAAAACGCGATGACAGGGGGGAGAGCCGAAGCCCAGACAGGTGCAGGGAACCAAAAATACGGGGTGTAGATATAGCGAATTAGAAGCCAGTGGTACCCGTGCACCCCAAAGGAGCACTATATAAGAGGTGACCCACTTGGAGATGAAACCAAACACAGGTCTCTGAAAAGCTGATCTGGCAGTTGCGCGCATGACTCTCGGATTCATGCCTAGTACGTAAGAGAGCGTGAGAAAAGTAATGCGATGCAGTCTGCGCCTATAAGACAGTAGTTCTTCAAAGTCGGGAAACAAAATTGTCACTACGGACACTCAGCCACAGGTGTTCACAAAGGGGCCTACAGTCTAGGATTATGTGAACTACGTCTAACATACGACTTACCCTCAATGTCCATCTGAAAGGCTTCTTGCAAAGTGTTCAAAAATGTCTGAAGAAAAGAGCGAGAGAGAAGACAAAACCAATGTCATGCACTAACAAATCGTTACCGTCATCGCAACCGACACTAACATAAGCCCTAGCGCTTCGGTGTATAGAAAAAAACACAATTTTAACCTCAATAACCAAGTACAGAGATATGCTTGAGGCGAACAGCGGTCAAAAATTAGGCACTCGAATTCTGCTAAGCTAAGAAAGCACTCTATTAAACGGTAGCTTGCGATTAATTTTGAAACATTCGGCTTCGGAACTAACTAATGAATTCGAACAAAAGGTCGAAGAGAATAAGGCAGTGTGGATGAGTGGCTCACAGGCTGGAACAAGCAGTGCACAGACCGAGGAAATAGAATCGAAGCAGCAACGGATACCGACATACTTGAAATGCTGGTAGGATAGTTAAGCTGCCCAGTAAATTGTCCGCGCTCGAATGCGACCCGATGTCGGAGCGACTAACCGGATTGTTGGAATACATCAATTGGTGGTATGCATCCGATAACAGGACTGTGTCCTGCGCAACTGGTGTCGATGGGCCGAATGGAAACGCGGTTGTCATCCGAGGCGGGCTAAGTGTGAATCGTAGACTCAAGCAAGCGCGGTACACCAGGACGAGATCATGAACAGACAGAGCAATAAGCACCACATTACGAACAGGTCGAATCCCAGTGGAAGAGGATAAAGTCTGAATTGAAGGGGAGAGAGAGGAACGAGCAGGCATGCTGAGCGCTGCAACAGGCGGATTAATAAATAAAGCGAAAGAGGATGACGGGTAAAAGTAAGCCGTGAGGCAAAAAGTGTGAACTACATGAGGCACTCACTTTAAGGCCGTGAATTGAGAGTGTTCGGTCTCGAAGAGGCTCAACAGCACGAACGAAAGGTAATGTGTGGACCAGAGCCTGGAAAGAAACGGAGTCCAATTATTGTGCATGTGTGATAGAGTAAGGCAAGAACCAATAAGCTGGAAAAAAAGTCAGAGCTTCCCTCGAGTTTCTGCTTGAGCCACTGGAATGGTGAGACAACGGAACGCGAATGACAAGACGTAAATGTAAACAGATGGACAGTGAGTTGATTCGATCTACACCGAGTGGACTGTAGACGCAAAGGTTAAGGGAAGTTAACTACCAGGCCTTACAAGAACTTAACAAAAATAGCAGGCATGGCTCCTTTTACTGCTCGGAAATGACAATGTGTCCTGAAATTGAAGCGTGTTTAAACTGATCGTTATGGGCACACCATCAGAGAAAACAGACACTGTCCTCCAAAATCCGGTTACTTAATGTTCAAAAAATAGATCGCCATCGACCGATCCAAAGAGGAGGAATTTGTTCCACAGAAAGGAAAAGAAAGACATCAGCAGTAAGCCGGTATGCAGAGCCGACGCCTCGCTGTCGCGCAACTACGACCGGTCGAACGTGGACTAAGGACACTGTCCCTACACAACTACGAACCCGCGATGTCACATTAAAAGGCAAGCTCGTTGCTTTTAGGCTACGGGCCACATAGCCACAGTCTGAGTCGCAGTCGAGCATATTTACAATACTTTATGTGGAACCAATGTGGGTTCATTGATTCCACTTTCCGACACTGAATGGGCATAATCCAGTTGCACCATAAATGTACCCCATCTTTTATGACTGGCCAAGAGGTTTCAACAGGTGCCGCCTGCAGCAGAGACCGATTCAATTAACTCGTGGTTCCAGTTAGACCGTCGAAGTCCGTTTTCCAGTGGCTGGGAATAGTGCAGTAGCGGCCATTTGCTTACAATGATCAATATCATTTGTTATATTATGACGATGTGAGACAAGGCAACGAATCCATCAGGCATCAGCAGTACGCCAGTACGCAGTACTGACGTACTGCTTCGCTGCCGCGCAACCACCACCGGTCGCATGTGGGCTAGGGATACTGCGAGGGTCTCCCTGCTCCTACGCAGGCTCGAACTCGCGCCACCAGATTACAAGAGTAGCTGGTTACCTTTAGGCTACGGATCCATCACATCGCAATGTACGGATCTTAGCTGATTCACTGCACCGAATTGTATTGTCATACAATGTTCGAAGTATTTTCGCAGCATGTCAGGGTACCGATGTATGGGACAGCGTTACAAAGGTTGACAGTTATCACCGACTAACCTTCGCAAACGCAGTCACGGACTTCGTGGAGTTCAAAAGCTCTTCCAAATGCTGACGGACCAGAAGGTGTGGATTAGAATCTATTTCAGTTGAAACATCGGAAGCTGCAGACACTGTTGTAGTCGAACTGAACCCCAGAGCGATAGTGAAGCCAAATTCAGAACGATACGATATGTCAACCTGAAAAAATAAAAGACTCATTCAGAAAGGGTTGATAATCAAGAGAGGAATATCACCACGTAGTCCAGTTCTCTCAATAATACATATATAGGTATAAAGACAAGCCTATAGGAGTGGACATCGAGTCATTCGAAGTGTGGAATAAGGAAAATAATAAAATGTACAACACTTGTAAAGAACCAACTATTGAGATGAACAAAGTACATAAGTATTGCGTGACTTTCCTATGCGCGGTTTGGTGCCTTTTTCATTGTTACGAGTTAACGCCTTTGAAGGCGGGAATTCACGGAAACTTGTGCACATTATTCCCACTGTAACCAGTTTTTCACCATTTATTCTGCCATAGTAAGCCACTGAAATTATTTACCTTTGGCTTTCTAACAGGGAAAATGTACGGGATCAGTGATGGCTAACAAGATGGTAATGATTTAATGCTTTGTCGCCAAACAGTCGCGGCTGGTCTCTACGCGACCTCTTCCAATGCAGCCATGCGAGAGCAAATAGGACGCGACGTTGTAAACGCGCATCAAGCATGCGCAAGATATGGCCAACGCATCTCAATTGAGGTAGCGGAACAGAAGGGGAGACCCGTTTTGCCCAAGATGCAGTGTGTACGATATCATCAATGCGCACTTGATGTTGCCACCATGCACGGGCGATCCTCCGCAAAAAGCCACTATCAAAGTCGGAAATCCTAAGCATGTCGTCTACATGGATCGGCTTGGATTCGCATCCACACCACAGTATAGCGCGAACAATGGCAATGAAGGCGCTGCTGTATATCAAGAGTGAAATGTCTCGACGACCCCACAAACGCCGATGGGGTTTCACGATACGAAGGGATACCGCCTCTCCAATAGTGCCGTGGGCACAATTTCAGATCCTCAGGTAGACAAAACTACCCACATGTTCGGGATTCATTCCTTCGGTTGTGAGCTGAGGAAGGAGTGATTGCTAATCCTGCTCTTTACACTTGGAGGAGGCAAAGGACATATCATACCTAGACGTTTCAACCACCAGTCAGACAAGGATCACTGAGCAAGGTGAGGTCACCAGCGCAATCTAAATCGGTGGCGCGATTACCAGGAAGGAGCTCACTGCCAAAACTCTACAGCCCTTCTAAAGCTCACAAGAGGACATCAATCGCAAAGTCGGAAATAAATGGAGATATACGAAATTCTAATCGCTGGCAGACAGGGAAGAGTACAGAAAGCTTTCCGTAAGCTCGTACTCAACCTGAAGTATGGAGGTAAGGTACCCGAAGTATAGAGACGTACTCTTTGGGAACTTTGTTCTTTAGCAGGCATCACCATAAAACAGCTCAATCAACTGAGTGGAATGCAGCCCGAATGTGCAGGAAGGAAACGATGGTAGGGTCCGCAGTAAATGTGATTATGATGGAGGAGATGACGAAGCATGAATATTTGATCCATACATATCAGATCAGAGCTAAAGCCAACGTGCTCCCCCGGTGGTGCGTTTCATGTGTTGGGGCTACCCTGGGGAACAAGATGGAAGCTAGTGTCATAAAGCCAATCGATATCAGACTGATCCCTCTTTGATTGGTGCGGTGGTATGACAACTTTCGCTGAATATTGATACAATTACTGACTCTCGCTGAGAAGAGAGTAGTGTTCTTCTTTGCAGAGCGTAGGAAGAGGAATCTTGGCTGACTGACAACTTTCAAGTTTCGAAAGATAAACAAAACACGAAGCTTTGAGCAAACAATTGTTTTCGATTACTTCTCCATCATCGAGACCCATATGAAGCGATGCATACCAAAAGTATCAAAACAAACCGTTGAAAAGAAACAGCTTTACTTGACACTTCCATTCAAAGGAAATAGTGCGGCTGAAACATGCACACGCCGACTACAGCAAAGCTGCAAAAAGCCCTTTAATGCGGCTCAACTGAATGTGATTTTCACGAGCAAACCTTTACTAGTTCCGAGATTCAAAGACCGAGTGCCTGATCATCTCCAATCGATGTTAATCTACCGGTTCACCTGCCCGTGCGGGGCTAGGTACGTTGGACGGACGACCAGGCATCTAGGTAAGGGAATTAAGGAACACCTGCCAGGTTGGCTCTACACGCGCGAGAATAGAACAAACTACAGTGCGATTACAAGCCATCTAATAAACACAGGTCACCAGACAGACAAACGAACAGCGTTACAAATTCTCTACAAAATACCATCAAGACAAAATCATCGTCTAAGCAAGCATACTCGCCACCGCTGAGGCAATATGCATACGTCTAACAAATCCGAACTTGTGTGTTCAGAAGAAACTAATACAAACACTACAACTTCCCTGGCCGACCACCAGCCGTGAAGGAAGTAATGGTACTCCGCAAATTCACCTGACCTCAGTCACGTGATCAGATGAAGGCCATCACGATCACAAGTTAAATTGTCTAATCAATTGTTTCTTTGTTACACTAACGATTGCAGCAGACGTTAACATAATGTATATTAATGTATGAGCCTGATGAAGAAGTAATCGAAAACAATTGTTTGCTCAAAGCTTCGTGTTTTGTTTATCTTTCGAAACTTAACGTAACAAATGGGCATTCTACTTGAATTGACTGACAACTGCTGAGCCACCGCACTTGAATTCTGGGAGAGACATGTCTGAGCCCGCAGCGCTTAAGCGTCGGATCTTTAGACAAACGTCCGCCTCGGCGGGTGGCTTTAGTGACACTGCCCATGGCACGCAACCAGATGTCAAGTGTAAAGTTAAACAGAGGAGCAGCTGAGCTAAGATTAGAAATAATCAATAGGTCTGTCCATGCGAATCTGCAAATCGTTGATCTGCGATCTGTCCGCCTCACATTTGTCTTCGCTGATACCAGACCTCCTGTATCTAGTGTCCCGAACGAGCTGGAACGAACTGCGAGTATTTCCAGTAAGAATGGCTGCGTTCATGTCCAAGGCACGTTGGGACAACCAAACTTCGTGAGAAAGTTTTGTTTGAGTAGTTGGCTAACAATGAAGCCAAACTTATTGTGGCCTGAGTGAGTTCGGTGGCGGTTGAACAATGTCAGGAATGGCGCAGGGAGTGACAAGCTAACCAAAAGAGTGATTGGCTCAAAGTTAGTACAAGAAGCCGAACCGTTTTCTGAAACGCGATAAACCCGAACTACAGAGCTGTCACCACGGGAGGTTGCTGCGCGATCCAGTGTACGTTGTCGTGTCTGACCAATTCTAAGTAAGAAAATTGAGGACCGAAATCCAAAAAGTAGACCGACGTGTTACGCCGGGCCTTTCACAGAGGCGGCGATCACAGAAGATGTATTTAAACTACCACAGGTGGGTTTCAAAACGCCGGACAACTAATGGTGGAGAAGTGGAATGCAACAAAATTTGTATGACCGGCAGGCCGAGTCCCAGAAGTACCACTTACATAGCAAGTTATCTGATGCGAAATTTGGCGTTAAGGCGATATAAATCGAAGCCCACATCGTCGTGCTGTTTTCGGGATCGTAGTGATCTTCCATTCACCCGATTGTACGGCGACTCTCAACCAAAACGGTGTATCTAGTTAGTGTCATGATGGCGAAAAATGAGTAGTCTGTTGTTATGGTGGACGTCTTCTTTTTGGTATCTTCATACGCCGTTCGGAGAAAAATCGAAAGCAACAATGCCGTAAGAATGTGACCTCGGTGAATTTCGGATAAGACCAATCCCGATGAACAGGTGAAATAATTCAAGTGGTATTTTCCCACGTTAGCCCAAAAAGGTAGCAAACGTGTGATGGAACATTTGATAAGTTTGTATAGCGTTACGCCAGTGAAATTAGGCAAAAGTACGGGACAATGGAAGTACATCGTAAGACCACAATTAGTTATGCATGTGTACAGGCGTTTGGTGAATGAGAAGGTAGCATTATATTTTGAGTTCCAAGTCAGCGTTTTGAGTAGACAGCATGCGCCAATGAATGCAGTGAAGGTGACGGACGGACCACACATACGTATTGGTGCACACACACACACACACACACACACACACACACATGCATTGTGCAGACCGCAGAGGAAGCGACCGGTTGAGGATGCATCGGGCAGCCAGCCTGGTCAATCCCAACGATGAGATGTGATGAGAGACTTACAAAACAACCGCCCGACGGGGAAAAAGAGTTGAAGGGTGTGGAATACTGGCTTCACAGTTTCCCGAATGAGGACGCTTTTGGTGGACAAGATGGAATAACGCAGGAAGAGAAATGGTTGAAGCGGCTGACATTATATCGTCACAATTGAAGGTGAAGCCACTGTGATACTCAGCGTGGTATTGCGAGCAGCCACGTAGTTAGGAAAAAGGGCCAAGTGCAGAGAGATGTTGCAGTAGGATTCACAGTGCTTACTTCTTCAAGTATGAACAATGACGGAGTACAGTCACCATTGAACAAATCATTATCACTATCATGTAACACATCGGCTGGCTTGCCGAACAACCTCCTCGTGGTGCCAGCTGGGTGGTTCGGGATTTTCCCGTTCCAGCAAATCGTTCGGCGGCAGTGTTTCAGGACGTGGTGGGTTTTCGCCTGGCAAGCGTTCTCCCTATAAAAAGCCACATATGTCCGTTTAACAACACTGTGACGTGGCGGACGTGACTCGCCACTAAATAAAGTCACTGCCCCTTGCTTCATCCTGGCGAAGCATTGTATCCCAGCAAATTTGTGCTGTAATTCTAGGGAGCATTGGGCCCCTGTTTGACAAAGGAACAAACGAAAGGCGTATGAAGTGAGCAATCAGTCACCGGCTCCTAATGGGCGCGATTCCCTGAATTCGCTCCGCTGCCTTGCGGGCAGGCTATTCAGCCAAAGGCTCGGGGAGGTGTCCCCTAAGTCAACACCCTACTTCGGCTTGGGCAACCGGGTAGTATCTCGCCCTCTGACGAAACCATGGACTTCGATGTTTTGTGTTGTGTTTTCTTTTACTATTTCTGTACCCCATGGTTTCTGATGGCTTTATGTCTATTCGTAGACTCTTGCAAATATATATATATATATATATATATATATATATATATATATCAGCTAGAGGTGAAAAACTGACGGAATCAGTCCGTCAGATTCTTACGTGACGGGGCGCGACAACAGCTGGCCAGTCCGGACCGCAAGCAGATTTGAAACCTGTTCAAGCAATTGCCTTGAGTCAGCTCAGGAAGGTACATAAGGAGCTGATAGATTGTGACCTGTAAAATGAACCGTGTTCTGTGCCTAAGACACTTCCGTCTAATAGGCTCGATGTTTTGTTTCGTTCCCGGCTGGTAGGCAGCGCAGGGAGTAGAGGCAAAGGGCAAGGTTACAATAAACATCTCAACAATTATGCTGTATTACAAAGTAAGTGGATGGTTGAAAAAAATGCTGTACTTCCCAGTTTAACATGCGCCCGGAATAGAGTGGGAAGCTAGGCGGGAAAACGTGTAATAAACAAACACGAGCGCCACTGAAATTGGTTTTTTTGCCATGTCAACAAGTATCTCAGACCGAACGCGCCCATCATCTCCCGGACCCGGACCAGGAAGTCAAGAGGATTTAGCCGAGGCCAAGTGCGAAGCGAAGCACCTTATTCCTTCTAACCAAGTCATCGGTTGGCGTCCCCTACTCTTCTTCCAACCACATCCCTATCGTGCAAACAACACACCACGCGGGGGTCGGTGTGCTGATATGCGCAACAAGTGGCGTAGCCATCGGAGCCTGGTGCGTGAAATAAAGGCGCTGAACGATTAGCATCCTACTTCTGTGCTTTAAACATGACGCCGAACACGCTCACTGATCACGCAGTGTTCGCACCATAGGTGGGCTAAGCTGCAAAGGCAACGATGATCGAACAAAACCAGCATTTCCAAGTCTGCAGACAATTGCAGAACTGTACAGTAGAGCGAAATAGACTGCTGCATAGTAGACTCTATCCTTTGGGGTGAGAGTGATGTTTTGTCGGTGCCATAAGTGGTGAAGATCAGCACAAGCAAGCCGGTCATTTGGTATACACTTTGTGACATGTATTTCATAAGCGGTAAGAGAACTGCCAATGTGGCCGAATTCCCGAACGAATGCAAAATGATCACCATCAAGTTTCAATGCAGGAATCGGTCTCCCGCAATCGCGAAAGAAAACTGTGCATTTTGAGCGTGCGAAACACAGCCCGAAAAGTTGACAGCCAGTGGTAACATGTTCAGCGTTGTTTGGTAAATTTGCGAACTTCCCATATTAAGGAAATATCGTCAGTATACTCTAATTCAAGAAGGGAAGCCGTTGGAAGCGGCTAAACGTCTAAGTTGAGCCCGATGGAACAGCGTCAAAAGAGGCAACCAATCTGCGTATAGAAGAGCGAAACAAGATACTATCTTGGAGAATTCCTTTGCAGGTAGGAAATGTAACAGAGCATTGACGATTTTTCCCCATTCCACGGGATTGGAAGACATCAATATCACCGTAACAAACAAAACAAGTCACCTATAGGACAGCAAAATGCAACAGGAGGCACGTGAGATTATTTCAAACTCACTCGTTTGGGTTAGAATACAATGCCAAAAATAATGAAACCCACCAGATAATGAACACAATAGGCCAACGAGAGTGTCTTCAAGTTGTAGGAAACCAATGAGACACCTGGAGGGAGGTGCACCTCTGGAACAAACCACAAACAGAATAAAGTCGGTTAAGGTGTGGGTAGCGAAGATAGGCGGTCCACAGAAATGGTCATTCACGCCAAAATTTACTTGTTGGGAATGAAACTACAAGACGACGCACGTGAACGCAAATGATGCTATGGAGCCTCAGCAAGCAAAATCTTGTGGACTAGATTGCAAAAAGAAAGCATAAAACGACGTCCAGTCGCGGAGTCAGTCTGATGAATCCCATAGCAACAAGGATGATTAAAGATTGGAAAGTCATGTTGGTTATGCGCACGTTCCACGATAGGTGTGAAAGTGTAGTTGAATGTTGGAGTTCAGCCAAGACTGAACACGAGAAAAGTTCAACCGAACGGCACCATGGAAGGGGATGTGACTATTGAAAAGTGTGGCGAAGACAACGAGTCTCGATGCAGATTGGCCAAGGATAACGTGCACAGCAAAGCTATGAATACGCACTCAGCAAGCGGACCACAATTTTTCTGTTGTATAGAAACTATAAGCTCCACAATCTTCATTGCAAACCAAAGGAATAGTATCGGCCAACGGTTGAATTTGGGCGCCAGACGAAGAATAAGCCCTATACACCCAACCCGAATCATACCAATCAGCTTGAGTGCTGTAAAACCACTAGAAAATCGGTCGGTGCACACTTCATCAAACCGACAATAGTCGGAGACGGTTGGCGCAGATACATTCACAAGAAAATATTACTCTCAAGCAGGCAGATAAATCTGGGGCGCTGCACTGATCACGTAAAGGTGCGGTGTGACTCCCGAGACAAGGGGTTGAGACTAAGTAAAGAGTAATTCCATCATAGTGTCAATACAAGTCACTCAATCATGGAATTGTGGACGCTGTCTATCGAAGCTCGACGATGAGGGAAATGCTAGAAATCGTTAGCCAGTGACCGAATGGATTATACGTTTCCCTTGTAATAAGATCCCTGGTTCGAATCCGCGTAGGTACGGGCGACCTCGCGGTATGCTCAACCCACGCTCGGTCGGTGGTGGTCACGTGGCAGCGAGGGGCGGTGTGCCGGAGTACTGCCGATGCCTTACTTAATGCACGAAAGCGGTATGGTCCTAGCCACTGGTAAAATCGAGTACTAAATGCTTTTAACACTCCAAATGGCAGGTGAATCGCAAGTAAATAGGCGAATCATTGTAAGTGCAGTTTCCACAGAAATACAAGTGTAATAATCTTAATTGGTTCGGTAACAGATAGACTAAAAATGACGCGAACCTTAGAAAAAGGTGTCCGCAGTACAACGGCAAGTTGTTCCGACGCATCGCTACCGTGTGACAATTAGCGATAGCGCTTGATTTAAAGGTACGGCGAGGTCGGCCTGTGTATTTCCAAGGGAGAGTGGGTTGGACCGTCATTTCGTTCAACCATCATCACTACCATAATCGTCGTCGTCGTCATCATCATCATCAATTATGATGTTGATGGTTAAGTAGTTCGTGGCTAGTAGCATACGTCACTGAACAAAGGGTGAAAACAGCAACCTACGATAACACGCTACTGAAGCACGGCATGTTGTCCTCAGGCTTCATACATACTACTTCCGCACAGTGAACAAAACCATCGCCCCAGAGACACAACTTCTGCAGCTGTGACACGGCAATGCAAGCTGCTCGAGGAATTTAAATTTTCAAGTGGATGTGCAAAGGCTAGATTAAGTTGTGCAAACACCACCAACAATAAGTCTTGGGGAGCCGCTTCCAACCAATAGGAATGGCGAGTAGAGTGAATTCACCTCTATAATAATAATAATAATAATAATAATAATAATATTATTATTATTATTATTATACACATTAGCTGCAAAGGGAAAGCACCTCAACTACTGTGCCGCAATACAAGAGAAAAATGAAACAGAGGCACGCCGGCTGAGTCATCAGTAACAGATGGACATGGTTCCGGAGAGCTAACAGCCGGCTATTTTGCCGCAAAAAATCATATTATGCCTAATAAGTGAGATTGTGGGAGGGGGAGGAGGAGGGACAAATAAAATTCTAACACAAACGACATTGAGGCCGGCTCCTAGCCATGTCAACAAGTGTATCCAGCCAAACGTGTTCATCCTCCTTCAGTGCCCAACTAGGGAGCCGAAAGGCTCTAATCGCGGCTAGCTTCGAACAAAATGCTCTCATTCCTCTTGACCAAGTCATGGCTTGGCCACCTCTCCTCTTCTTCCACCCACATCCCCAGTGAGCAAACGACGCACGTCGCGGAATCCGTGGGCTAGCCCAGCCAGCTGGTGCGTAAAATAACGGTGCTGAGCGTTTCGCTTCTTCTTCCTGTGTCCTAAACAAGGCATCGAACAAGCTCATTACTTACTCGGTGTTCCCATCAGATATGAGTCAAACGGCGAAGGCACCGGTGGTCAAATGTAACTAGCCTCTTTGTGTCGGCTGATCGAATAGGCCAGGTTTCACAGCCATACAGTAGGGTCGAATGTATGACTAGATTATACACCCAACCCTTTAGGGAGAGAGTGAAGTCGCGCCAGCGCCATATGTGGCGAATGTTAGCAAAAGCGTCCCGTGTTTCGGCTAGACGGTTTGTGACCTCGTCTTCAATTTCAACAGCGCTGATACAACTAACAAGGTAGCTGAACTTATGAACGACCTCTAGATGATCCCTACCAAGGGTCAGCGCAGGAGGCGCCCCCTGCCAATCTTGGAGGAAAGCTTTGCAGTTGGAGGCCGCAAAGCAGAGACTGAAACGGGTGACAGCCAATGCTAATCTGTCCAATGCCGCTTGGAACGTTTTGGAGTTCTCACAGATGAGGGCAATATCATCAGCATACTCCAAGTCAAGAAGTCATTCATCTGGGAGTAGCTCCACACCTTCTAAGTCATGTCCTGTGAACGAGATCTTCATTACTTCCTCAATTGCGAAGTTAAAGAGGGAAAGGTGACAGCGGGCATCCTTGTCTCATACCGCAGGAGATATTGAAGGGCGGCGACAGCTTGCCATAAGCCCCCACTCGACCTAAGCTATGCGTGTAAATCGCTCGCATAATATTTACATACTTCTAGGGCACACCTTTCCTGAGTAGACAGTCCCAAAGAGCACATCGATCCACCGAATCGACGGCAACTATGATGTCGAGGGAAGCAACAACGGTGGTGTGTGACGGGGCTCCAACAATTCACACAAAGTGAAGCTGTGGTTGATGCATCCACAACCACGACGGAACCCGGCTTGCTTTTCACGAATCTGGCTTTCACGATCGCCAGTCACTCTGTGAAAGATTACAGAGGAAAGCAATTTGGAGGCGATTGGGATCAGACTAATTCCTCTATGATTTCCGCATTCGGAACGCGAGCACCTTTTGAAGACCGGGACAGGAACGGTTGGGACAGTTTCCTGCTCCCACAGTTTCACTAGTAATTCGTGCACATACTCAACCAAGGCACCCAAATTTGAGGGGAGCTGGATGAAGAGCATCTGGTCCCGCGGCTTTATTTAACTTCAACAATCCGATCTCACGTTCGACTTTTGAGCGAGAGGGTGGATCCACGGGGACAACCCAGGGAGCAGGGCGATCAATGGCCGGCGAGGAATCAAACGATTCCGGCCGATTAAATTGCTTTTCATAATGCTCAGCCCAACCCACCAACAGTGTTGACAAGCTGTGGATAGGCTGTCTACTCTTGTTACGTATAGTTTCACTAACACTAGGTCTCCTGTTGCCCGTTTCCCGTATCAAACGGAACAACTTCCGATGGTTACCAATGGCAGCGGCCACTTTCATCTCTGACGCACGATGAGACCACCAAGATTCGCGGTCTCCCTTAAGGCTAGCACCGAGTTTTGCCCCGATGTCTTTGCGAGTCCCGTTGTGTTCGCTCCCAGCCGAAATGTGCCAGCGAGCATTGATAAGCTCCAGAGACTGTAAAGAGACCAAATATCTATTTTGTCTAGTGAATTTACCACATGACGATGTACCTCATTCTAGTAAGGTCTGGTAAATATGCGAGCAGTGACCTTCAAATGTATTCAGTGAGCGCTTGCTCAACCCGAACGCCAGCGTACTTCGATACGCATCCAAAAGATCTAACTTCGCCAGTTGGCGGGTGTCAATGCGCTCCCAGAGTCGTCGAGCACAACCGCCAAAACACACCCGCAGACCAGCACATAGAGCTCCATGGCCAGTGTCAGCACATGTACTCCAAATCGAGCGACATTGTTGGACGTAGCTTCTCCAGCGATGGCTGATCGCGATTTGGGCGATTTCCGTCCATGGCTAGTGGGCGCCATATCATCTTTCAACGGGTGCTGTTTCGGAAGTTAGTGCTTGTAAGGAATAAGCGAGCATCTTCACACAAATGAAGTAACCACTCCCCGTTATCATTACGGGGGGCTACACCATGTGGGTAATTTCTTAACTTGTGTGCTCAGATCCCCAGTAAGCAATACAGTGTCCGTGCTTCTGCTGTGGCGGAGCTCGTCCAGTTGACAACAGAAGTCGTCTTTTACCGAGTCATCACTATAGTCTGTGGGGACGTAGGCAGCAATGGCAAACAGACACCTATTAGCCCGCGCGACTTCGAAGCTTTGTACGAACCAGCCAGTCGGACCGCACACTCGCGGATACTGATTGGGATTCAAACAACTAGAGCAGCTTCAGCCCGAGGATTCAGGATAATAACAACACTGGCTTGGCCGGCATTCGAAGCTGCATCGTCTCCGAATAGGCGCAATGAGAAAGCATTGCCAATGTCACCTGAAGGGGATTGCAGAGTAAGAACAGAGTTCGAATCTTGTAGGCAGCTTTCGGATAGGCAGCAGATATCGATCGAGAGGGTCCCTAATGTTCGGGCAAGTGCTGCCTGTGGACCGATCTGTAACAATGTGCGTATGTTGAGGTATGACAGTCTGAGGGAGGATAGGGGGCTCCAAATAAAAGCCGATAAACTGGGCTTGACCGCATGGTTAGACATGGGCTTGTCGCTAGGGCAAGAGTGACGTTCCGCGTTTGCATGCCAGTTGAAACTAGAAGATAAACACTTATCAAAGCATGTTAGGGGAGGGGCAAGAATGGGGGGGGGTGAAAACAAGGGAATAAAAGTGAAGTTTCAACGGGACGATAAGGATGAAAACGCAGAAAAGAGGGAATAAGACGGGAAGGCTTGAGTGGTAGCAGGTAAATTCATATCCACCCTGCTCGATAATGCATCAGATAGGGCACCGTTCAGTATTCTCTGAGGTGGCCAGAGTATCAGGAAATTGTTTGAGAAAGGATTCATAGTATCGCGTGGGCACGATACTGTCAGATTGCCCAGATCTAGACAGGAGAACGATTAGGGTTCTCAAGCAAAGCCTTTGGTTCAGAAACCTGACCGCAAGGCAGCGGACTACAAGGAGTCCGTTTTAAGGAGTAAGGAGCCACACTCATTCCAATCCCTAACCTGAAGGGTCAGGAGACTGAGTTTGTCTGGCCTTTAACCATTGACCAATCTGGTATGAGAGGCTCTGAAGGTGTAAAATCCCCATCCAGCATAGCTCAATGGATCGCTAAGGCACGCAAACCATCGCACCATGGTAAGACAGCCTCATTGCGATGGGAATTCTCCTCCACTTGAGGATATGAACCCATACTCATAACAGTAAGAATAATAAATGCAGTCGAGGTTTTAAGCAAAATCAGAAATCATAGACCGCAAAGTAAACGTAGAGTCAATCGAGTAGCAATCGTTATTCCTAAGTATGCTAGTTCAGTGAATACCACGATTTGAGGAATCTAGCGAGTGAACTCTACAGGAGTCGGGGTTCAGTGGGTCCTATCGAAGAGAACAGCGCAATATCTATACCAAAAAAGTCGAGTTGCAAGATATAATAAATAAGAGTAATGTGTCAACAGTACGCCGTAACGGCGCTTCGTTGCCGTGCGACCACCACCAGTCGCACGCGGGCTGAGTATACAGCGACGACGCCCACAGCTACGCGGATTCGAACCTGCGCCGCAAGAGTACAAGACAAGCTTGTAACCATTATGCTACGGGCCGAAGTTGCAAAACATGAGACCAATTGAATCCAGTGCTCCAGAAATGCAGATTAATTTATTTGAGGGGAGCCAAAAATCGATCGAAGCAAAAGCACGTGAGAAGTTTAAACATAGCTGTTTAAACGCATGCCATCTGCGAAAAATATGAAGACAGTGCGGTTCGAGGAGAGTAGCAGCAACAGCAGCGAGAAGTCTTCCAGACATGCGCAAGGGTGGATGTATGCTCAAGGAGAACAAGGGGAAGCGGATAGCATGTACTCATATAGTGAGAGACCAAGGAGTGAAGATTCCGGTGAAACAGTGCGACTGTCGAAGATGTCGCAAGTCGATCTGAATGTGGGATTTTCGGGTAGTTATGCAACGGAGCTAATGAAGTTGGCAGCTCAAGCTGGATATCGTCGAGAAAAAGAGGAAATTCAGCGAAGTTGGGAAGTTGTCCGCCGCAGTCGTATGTGGCACAAATCGATGGAACTCACATCAGGGGCAGCGCGTGTGCGACCAGTGGTGCCGCTGCCGCCTGTAGTGCGAAACGTCCTTCATGAGCTGCAACTGGTCTGGTTGGGTTTGCAACTGATCACTCTAATGTGGTTGTGCGCCAAATTGGACTTCAGATGTCGCCTACATGATCCGATTCCAGGATTGCCGTCGTACATGGGAAGCCGGATGCCTTGGATTCCGGCACAATACAGTATGCACCTTCGGCTTGGGACCATTTTGATTTTCATCGGCTGTGTATATCTGCCATGCTCGATGGCGCACTTCGTCTATGTGCTAGACGACTTATTAGATGAGTGAGTGAACTATGGTATGAAGTGTGGTATAGCGAGTTCGAGATATATCATTCGATCATAAGAATAATGACAAGTGGAAATCCATAACTTACAGACTCGGTCAGACAGCCATCACAAGCCCGGAAAAGCACCGTACAGCCTGGAATATAACTGAAACCGATCGAGAGGACTTGAGTTCAGAATGATATCAAACGTCTCAGAACTCACTGTACAGCTGTTTCATCCCTGAGGAAATCGTCGGCAGTGTGCATTTCAGCTGATCCCAGACGAGCTCAAACCCGTAACTGGACAGTTGCCAGTCAGTGGTTAAAGCCACTGAGTTATAACAGTCAAAACAATCATTGCCGTCCTACGTAGCTCAGGGGTCTCAACCGCAGACTGGTAACAGTTGAGCTGTGGGCTCGAGCCCCAGAGAGGCCAGATGGAATACACTCCGCTGATGATTCCTGAAAGAAGGAAACCGCAGTACAGTGCGGAAGGACAGAAGCGTGTAGTCTGTCTGACTGAGTCTGTATGTGATGGATCTTTATTTATAGCATTAAACTCCCCCTACTACCCATTATTAATAATGACAATAATACTCCCCGAAGTGCCCAATCCGAAAAGTATAGGTGGGTATGTGAAAACACCTGCGAAGTGTGGATTACGCATGTGATATTCTGCCAACACGTAAGCACTTCATGAGAGTGGAACGCTGAGTGATCGCCCAGGTTTGGACATCTGTCCGATGGTAAGATCGACCAGAGTTGAACACAAAAATGTTAGCAGCTGCCAAGATATTTTCAACATCATACCATACAGTGTTATCTGTGGACATGTTCCCAACCAAATCAGTTTTATTGCTAAGAAGCTCCGACCAGACCCATTCACAGTGGGTTCTAGCTCGCTTTATATGAATAAGTAGCCATTTTGTTGTATTATTGATAAGTTTGTTAGCACGCAGTTCCTGGTTACAAGGCTCGCGCGATGGCCGCACGAATTGTCGCTGAATTTGGCTGCTCTATGTTGCATCCAAGATCTTCGTGTCCGTCCTACTTCGCAGGCTTCCAACGACTAGATAGAACTGTTACCGAGAAGAACAAGTCGGTTTTCGTCTAGGCCGAGGTTGCATCGACCAAATCTGAACACTTTTTCAACGTTTGAACTCGACCACGTCCACCGACGGCCAACAATCGCAGTGATCTTAGACAGCCGAGTGGCATTTGATTCAGTAGACAGATCTGCGTTGTGGAACCATTTATTAAGGAAAGGTTGGATATGATGACCCGCAACACACATCAGTGGCGCCAGCATAGTTCTGCCGTACCATCCATTTGTTAGTCTCTAATGGAACACAAATCTACAAAACAAAACAAAACTAGAAATGGCATTCGCAAAGCCAAAAGGAACCTTGTTTTCTTTCTCCATTGTATTTTGCTTTTTTCTGCCGTGGCTCTTGTCACGACTTAGCGAAGCACAGAATAAGTAATGGCATGTGACGAGATAGGAAAACTTTAAGCTATTGAGCCCAAACTATACGCACGGTCTGGTCAAAAATAAAATAAAAGTAAACCCCTGTTACCGTGGTTTTATAATACAACTTACAGACACAAATCAACTTATGTATAGGTTTGAAACCGTAATAAGAAAGGACAGACAATGGAAGACGTGCGGCGGCGTGCGGAAATGTTGCACCGTATATGACCCAAGGTATTCCCGTGTACAGACAGGAGTATAGGAACCGAATGGAGCTAGGGATTCAAGTGAAGACGCGGAAGCAATAACTAGAAAGTTAAGCGCAGTCCGTAGCTTAGGGGTAACGAGAATGTCTGGTAATCTTGCGACGCGGATTCGAATCCGCGTAGTGGTGGACGTCCTCGCGGTATACTCAGCCCGCGTGCGACTGGTGGTGGTCGCACGACAGCGAAGCGCCGTTACGGCGTACAGCTGACAAATTATTAGTTATTGTTTCTCTTATATCAGACGGTATGTGTGCTAAGGAATGTCGGCTATGAACTATTTTCCCAAATGAGTGATGTGTTCGTGTGAGGCAACGGAAAACGAAGGGGTTACTAACCCATCAAAATAGGCCAAGGGTAACTATTATCCGGTTAGAGTAATTTTACCCTAAACGGGGCTGTGATTAGATTAAACTTCGGCCTACGCAGCGAGAACGATAATTCAGACTTGTGTTTACTCTTTTATTAGAACACCACTCCAGCTGGCCCGCAAAGTGGAATTCGCACATCGGCGAAAGGAGTCTGTCCAGGAATCAAGACGTTGGTCGCTGGACCCAAGATTCGACCAGTTTCGTAGACCGCGAAGACGTCAATGGGCGACGACCATAATGCTTGTGCTGTCAACCATGATCTGTTTGTGGATCGTCGGACTACTTGTCAGTGAGTTTGACCCGTTCGTACATACAACAGGACATAAATAGTACAGAGCTTTAACAGGACCAGAGAGAGATTCTGTGCTACTTGAAGGACGAAGAACACAAACTCGTGCTTAAGTTGCTCGAAAGAAGAGCAAGGGGGTCGCATGACAACTACACACGCTGCGAAACTATCAAGACAGAAGCATTATCCCTCGTTTGGTAACCAAAATAGGAGAATGGACTGAGTAACCCCTTTAGCATAGTACGACACGATATAGGATCACAAAAAGCGTAACCCTGCAAACCCGAACAACAGATAGCACATTGTTAATTACGAGTGGTCTGGATGTGTGATGGTCTAAGTGTGCAGGACTCGACAGCATGTTGTGTAGGCCGGAATAAAGCACCGCACATCGGTCGATGGCAATTTTGTGATGCTTCTTGAGCTAACACATAGGTAAGGAGCGATCCGATACATAAAACAATGTCATAATGTATCTGCTAATTCAGTGATGTGGTTCCATTTTGTAAGTTCATCCCAACCATGCTACGAAACTTACCAAGCATTCGCCAGCCCATGGTGTTAAGGATCGCAAGCCTACCTTGTAATCGGAGGATGCGAGTTCGAGCCTGCGTAGGAACAGCGCGACCTTCGTAGTATCCTTGACGCACGGGCAACTGGTGTTATTTGCGCGGCAACGAAGCATCGGTACTGCGTACCGGTGTACTGTTAATCAATATAAAATATTGCACTATAGGGATTGTGAAACCCTGGAGAGTAGTTCACGCGAGCGCTGCAACACCGCAGCGCGCTTGAGATCGCGATACAGAATTCAGTGTGTTTAGCAGGACACTGCTGAACGCCCATTCGCCATGTTCAACGGGTCGATTGTACGTCTCGGTTACAGGTGATTACAATCAATCGGTACAGACAAAGCGATGGCATCGGGATGTATTCAAATGGCTGAGTAAAATGCAGCGCAGATACTTCGCAAATAACACTAACGCAACGAAGGAAGACAATCCAAGAACTATTCTGGACACGATACACGCCTTGCTCCAATGCTGCGGAGCAAATGGTTACGAAGAGTGGAAAAGGGAGCACATTGTACAACCAGAAGAGGAGCACCTAACATCCGAAATAGACAGGTGAGCTACCATCCCTACCACTTTAGTTCAAAGGTCCAATTAGCTGGAAAACTAAGATTAGACGAACGGGGTGTGGTGAATATAGTCACCGAGACCCGTGAACCACTATGACAGCAGAAAAAATAGGCGAAAAAGTATGCAAAGATGAAAAGAAATCAGGAAAAAGTTGTCACCGCTTTGCGAAAAGGACGATGACTGGAAATAACAGGTTGAATGTTGAGAAATCAATTCGTATTAAGCGTAATCTCCCGCGACTTTCGGTGCCAATGAAAACCTTACGTGCTCAGCGGATCAGTGTAAGATGGACATGATGCAACTGCAGGACTGAATTACATGTGTATAGCAAAATTCTAATGAAATTAACCAGAAAGCTGTTTACGACATCACAGACACAGTGAATCAGCTGGGTAGCAGTACACGTTTACTGTGCAAACCTTCCCACAAAAATCAGCACAAATATGGCAGCAGTTGCAGTTGCGGAGCTGCACAGTAGATGTGAATGCTAACAGTCGAGGTTATACCTTCGGTAGACATCGTTTAATGGCCTAACATACCAATATCCCGCTGTTGCACAACAGTTCACAATTAACTGAAATAGCCTTTTACATTTCGTGCTCATAGCAAGGAACAACAAAAACGAGGAAATCAATCGGAACGTTCAATCACTCCAGTGATACCATTCAGCTGTTGCCGATGGAATAATGGTTCGACGTGCGATCACATCAATGGTGGACACAGTGAACATTTGTACACACGAGGATGCACCAACCTCATTGTGAATCAGCTACTGCTTCCGTGGATGAGAACAGTAACCCATGGCCTGGTCCCACTTGGGATACTCATGGTAAGTGGTGGATTAATGGTAGTACCGTTGTTGTGTTTTCATGGTTGGTAGCCGGAGCGCATCGCGGGAAGCGCGCGAAGTAGCCATGTAGTAGCCAAAAATACCTAGAGACAACATTTTATGAAAGGGCGCACCACCTGGTGAAGCGGAGCAACAACGCCGTAGCTCACAAATCGTCGGTATCGATGGCGAATTCCGTTATGGATTGAAGGGGACTATCAACGGTAGTGCCAAGCTCTGATCTACAGCAAGTCTAGCAACAATCGTATTCGGATAGACATCGTCTCTGTTACAATAGGGAATGAACGAATTGTGTTCCGATGTAGTCACCGCCCATCCAAATGCGAACGAAGGCCATGTCGAGTTGTTGAAGGATTCCGATATGTTTGACAAGCGGTACCATGAGTGGCCATTTGGAAGTGAACCACATTGCGGGCAGAAGTACACAAAAAATTTTCATTTTTCCACCGGTCTGTGTTCAACAGGGCTAGAAAAATATGCACTGCTGACACGCCGGAATAATAGGTACGGCTGATAACCAGCACCCTCGTAAACAATGGATACCCATCGTCTTTCATCGTTCAGTTTAGTGCTTAGAAAGAGAAAAAATGTGTGCCCACGGTACCGAAGATGAAGGTAACCCGGCAACTGCCATTCAAGGGTGACGACGTATTAGAAAGTATTTCAGCGTCAATTGAAATCCGGAGTGGCGCGCGCATACCCTGCAGCAGAACCAGTGCTCATCTACCCAACGAATCGTATCCCCACTCCATCGGTTAAATCCCCGCTGTCGCTGTCCAACCGTTCACACATACTTTACCAATTTACATGTATTTGCAAGGCCGAATACGTGGGCATGACAGAACGACAATTGCGGGTGGTGGAGCACATACCAACGTGGGTGAAAAAAACCATTTCACAGATGGCCACGTTCACCACCCCGAATGCGCAGCCAATGAAGCGAAATGAATTTCCATACAAACAACCAGCTTCATCAATCGCCCGCCACCTGCTGGCTGACAACCACTGTGTAGACCCCGTACGGTCGTTCCGTGTTATCTATGCATCAATGAACCCCCTAATTTTACGATATGCTGAGGTCGTGGCTATCAAACAAATTGGCCCAACTCTGTGTGTGTAAAAAGACGCAGTTGTGACCCTGGCCCTGACGTGATAGCAGGCCGGCAACAGATGACAAGGTGACATGAATGTAGGTGTGTGCAGTTTGGTCAATTTGCCATTTTAATTGCGCTCCTCTCATGATGCTATAAATTCATGTCTGTAGTACGCAGTTGAAAAGAGGCAGAGAAATATTTCCGGAATTAAACCGTGCAGCACTCGTGTGTTACCTTTTTTCGTTAAAAGATTTGGTCTACAGAAATGAACGCAATCCCATTCCAAAGCTCCAACCTGGAGGACCAGGAGACTGAGTTTGTCTAATCTCTAACCATTGACCAAACTGGTAAGAGTAGCTCTCAAGGGGACAGGGGGCATCACGCAGTATAGCTCGATGGACCGACGAGATACGCCAACCGTCGCATTACGTTAGAATCCAGTCCCGTTGCGACGTGATACAGCCCTTGTGACTGCTTTGTTAAGGTGTTTTCTCACATGTCCAATATGTATTTACCACGAATGTTATGCCATGGATAAAACCGCAAGATATCATGAGAGGAAAAAGGCTACGAAGTTCGCGCATGTCTCCGTGGAAAATCCCACACTAACGACCCTCCTCGTGGTGCCAGTTGGGCGATTCGGTATTTCCCGTTCTGTCGAATGGTTCGGCGGCAGTGTTACAGGAGGTGGTGGGTTTACGCCTGGCAAGCGCTCTCCCTAGAAGAAGGCACAAGTGTCCGCTTAGCAACACTACGACGTGGCGGATGTGACTCGCCACTAAATAGAGTCACTGCCCTTTGTCTTCTCGGAGATATTGTATACCGATAAGCAATCCGAGCATCTGATTTCATCTGACTTCGGGAGTGTTGGGCCCCTGGTATGGCTTTCGTCATCCGAGGCGTATGAACTTAATGCTCAATCACCGACACCCAACATGTGCGAAATGCTTATTTCGCCATGCTGCCTTGTAGGTTAGGCCCTTCGGTTAAAGGGTCGGGCCGTGGTCCCCTAAGACAACCCACCTACTTCGGCCTAGGCAACCGGATAGTATTTCGTCTACTGATGAACGATGGATACACAACTACGTTCTCCCTCGTTCTTATGACCAACTGTCCTGCGACTACGCCAACTTTACAAACACACGTCACCAATTTACAATCTTTCCTTGTAATACTCATCCTCACTGTTACCTAATTCTTCAACTGTGAACAACCCTACAGCCAATGAAGTTGTTCTATCTCTATCCGTCAACTCAACCACACAGTCCTTGGCAGGGAGCTGCCAGCCCCGAAGTCTGCCGTCTTCATTGCTGCGATCAGGATTGCAGTTCAAACTAGCAACCTTCAACGTGCGCACATTATTGCAGATCGAACAGCAAACCAAACTGGCGCGCAAGCCAAAGATCTTGAAATTGATGTCTGCTGCCTGAGTGAAATTCGACTGCAGAATTCCAACACAGTATACCGACTGCCGTCACCAGTCCAACGACACACCCGCATCCACCTTCGCCTTCCAGGTGACGCTGATTCCGCCGCATCTTGGCAAGGTAGTGTCGAAATCGCCCTCAGTGCTAGAACCAAGGCCACCCTCCTTGACGAGATTCCAGACAACAGTTGTCTATGCGCTATGAGGATCCGTGGCTTTTGTAACGTGAGCAGGCATCGCGCAGAAAAGCGTGCTCTTTTCGTGATCTCCGACCAGTTCTACAAACATCTTCATGAGCTGCTCCTAAGGGCGCCTAAAACAAACATCGTTGTTATGGCAGGAGACTTAAAGGTGCGTGTTGGTCGGCTGCTGCCATGTGAACGTTACTTCAGTGACCGCATGGGTATGATGATGTTCGCTCTGACAACGGAGAGACTGCTCAGTCTTTGTGCTGACCACCAACTTTTCCTCTTCAGTACGAGCTTTCGTCACCCTGGACGCCACTATGCCACCTGGCGTCCTCCATCGTCAACCCAGCGCTGGTCACAAATTGATCACATAGCCATAAGTCGCAGGTGGCGCGGCAGCGTACGCGATTGCCGATCCATTTGGTCAACTTGTGTTGACACCGATCATGCATTGGTGTGTGCGATAGTTTGCATGCGTTTCGGCGGTTCGCCCAGTGCCAAGCAAACCCGACTGAACACTCACAAGTTGGAGGACCCAACGGTGAAAACGCAGTATCAACAGAGGCTTCGCGAAAATCTCGCTCTACCCCATGCTCTGGATGTTGATCAACACTGGTCAAATTTGCAACAAGCAATGCTGTCCGCCGGCTTGTCCAGCTGCGGACTCACCCGCTGCACAACCAGAAGCTGGATTTCGGTAATATCCTCGGAACTGCTGGATCGTCGACGGGCTGTGCCCGCCGGTACGAAACACAATGAAGTTGGTCGGTCAATCTCTCAACAGCTGAAGTCAAGCCTTCGCTCTGACCGTGAATCCTGGTGGTCAAAACGAGCTGCTGAGATGGAAGCCGCTGCATCGGCTGGAAACTTCCGCAGTTTAGTTTACCTCATCAAAACCACTGGTTGCAATTCACACGCTGTCAATCAGACGATTAGCGAGTCAGATGGCATGAAAATCACCAACCTAAATAGGCGCGTGGGTCGGTACGCAGAGCCTTATGGTTTCCAATTTAACTGCTCAGCAAAGCCCACTGTGACATCTCGGTTTCCCTTGGACGGTGCTTGGCCTATAGCCACTGATGCTCCTACCGAAACAGAGATCCAAAGCACAAGCCAACCTTTGTAGTGTCATAAAGCTCCCGAGCCTGACAACCTACCCCAGCCTTATTCAAAGATGGCGGGAATGTATTTGTCAACGAAATGCCATCACTGTTCACGAGAATATGGACCGACGAGAAAGTCCCAACTGCATGGGGGTAGTCGAGTACTGACCCAGTTCACAAGAAAGGCTCCCGAGAGAATTGCGCCAATTACCGTGGAATTTCGTTGATCTATGTTGCTTACAAAATTTTTGTCTCTTCTACTTCGCAGGCTCTCAGCGACAAGAGAAGGCGTTTCCTGAGAGAAACAAGCGGGTTTCCGTCCAGATCGAGGTTGCATTGACCACATCTTAACACTCCGCCAAATTCTTGAACTCCGTCACATCCATAGAGGACCAACAATCTTGGACATCAGCGGCTTTTGACTAAACAGATCTGCGTTGTGGAACTGTCTACTAAGTAAAGGTGTACCCGACAAATCTGTAACCATCCTGAAGGATCTCTATAGTCACACTTCGGGCAAAGTCAGGGTGTACAGCACGCTTTCCCCTTCGTTTGCTGCCACCAGTGGTGTGCACCAAATCTCACCCTTCCTCTTCCAACTTGTCAGTAAAGATGTCGTCCAACGAGCATTGGAAAGACAACAAAACTGCGATTGAGATTCTCACAGGTGACAGAGTCGCGGACTTGGACTACGCCGATGATGTCGCTTTGCTCGGGGACGATCTACAAAGCGTCAAGAACGCTCTGAACCACTGAGCGATGGAGGCATCTGAGTGTAGCATGTGTTTCAAGCCAGGCCGTGTTTACAACGCATCTGTTCGTTCAGTATTGTTATTTGTGAGCGAGTCCTGGCCAATTCACGTGGATGACATGCTTCGTCTTTCTGCCTTCGACAACCGTTGCTTATAGAGGATGGCTCGTGTCTGGTGGCAGCATCGAGTTCACAGTGACGTCTCATCTTGAGGAATGCGAGTATTCTCTTCAACAAACTGGTTTTGCTGCGTCAGTTGAAATGGCTCGGTCACGTCCCACACATGACACCTGAGCGTCTACCACGTCGCGCTCTATTCGCTCGTCAAGGACTTGGCTGAAGGCGACCGCGTGGTGGTCAGCCGTCCAGTTGGCGACCGCATTTGAAAGTGTTGACGTCGCGTCTAGCTGCCGTTGA